GAATCAATGAGTTATAATCTTTTATAAATTCACATTGTATATTATTTTAAATATATAAGCTATGCACAAACCGAAAATAATCTTTTGTTTACTGAAGAAATATTGAACTCCCTTATTGATAATACGTTTATTATTTTTAAAATCTACTAACCATTTCTACTAAGTGCTTGTCCAAAATCTAGTAACTAACTACATACTATCGCTTATGCTAATGATAAATTTTATCACCAACACATCGAAAATATATTGAACCGAGTAGAATATCTTCCAATTCAAGGTATAGCTTTAGAATCCTATGATAAATATAATTCTTTGTGTTTTTGAAATTGAAATTTAATAAGGCATAACAATTTATTGTTAGGTAAAATATTATACTGCCCCTTCAAAAGGCTTCGTCATTAATTGTCAATCTTCTGTAATAAATGACGAATTATGCTTAAAATTTAGTTAGGAAATAAATAATAACGTTTACAAAATCAAGGAGCACAGAAGATTCTGTGTTTGTTATCAAATCATAATCAAGACTTTTAAAGAATTATATGTGATATAAGTATTTTCATTGGAAAATATTTACAGAAGAATTTTAATATTCGATAGTGTCGCTTAAATACTGTTATTTTAATATAAATGTATATTAAAAATATTACTATATGTTACCAAATATTATAAAAATATAAGGCAATTGAATATAAATATATTTTATTTTTAATTTCTTATCGCAACTGAAATATCTAATTAGAAATATATTCCTAGATTTTCCATCACTATTATTCAAAAATAGTTTTTTAATCAGCTCTTATCATATATATACAATAAAAGCCGTTTGTAAATACAAATTATTAGTAAGAATTTTGATCAAAAACGTCTCTGACATTCCTGTAGAGGGCAGTGCCTTCTTGAAGAAAATGAACTTCATTCAAAATATATGTGTATATAAATCAAAACATATAAATGTTTATAAATATATTCCCGTCCATATTTATTACAATAAAATTATAAGTCAATGTTCCTTCTCTTTTGTTACTTTCTATAAGAGTTTCGCTTGAAAATTTTACAAAGGAGACTTTATTAAACGTTAAATGTTCTCATGTACGTACAGAATGAAAGATAATTAAAATTAATATAGAATGAATATTCGGGGTCATTACTTCCCAGGGACTCTGGGGTCGTAAATTCGAAATCTAATTTTATCGAGGATTTTTCATTTTATATTATTTCTCAAACGTTAAAACTTAATATTCATTGAGAGGTTTTTCCACCTACTAGTTTGGATGTTTGTGAGCTCCTTTTAAAGTTTTGTGACATTGATAGATATAAAGTGTTTTAGTTTTAAAAATGAATGAGACTGATGAATAGAGTAATTAATATTACAAATTAATATTGAAAATATAATATTAAAAGAGTATTTGATTTCATATGAACATACTAACTCGTAATATTCTTTAAAATGAAAATCTGATTTTATTTAAAAAAATAGATTTTGTTTAAAGAATTAGATATATATATATATATGAACATTTAATGTAGGTAATTAAAAATGTAGTACATACTTCAATATTGTACGTGTTTTCTGTTTTGCTTGAAATTTAACGGTGATGAATAATGAGTTACAATTCTTAATCCAATATGGTTTCTTTTGCTTTTTTCTTATGCGGTTGTAGTTTTTATTGTAAATATTTATTTAATTTTGACCTGTCAATAGTGTAACAAAACGTAAACAGCCATTTTCCATTGAAGACTCTAAAATAATTTGGGATTGACGAAGTTCCGGTCCAAATTTAAATTCGTATAAAGATTTCTAATTAAATGTATTTTGTAATTATTAACTATGGAACCTTATTCTCTTTGTTTCAGACATTGGTCCAAGTTTTAATTAAAGCGACGACCTTCCTTATAAGGGAAAAATATTATAATATTTTTCTATACACTTAGATTGAATAAAGAAAAAAAAATGTTGATGGAACAAAGACAGTTTTATATTAAATATTTAGCTGTACATAAAAGATTTATTAAAATTAATTTCTTAATATATTAGCAATATATAAGTACTATATAATTTTGTGTATACATGGCTGAAAACGTTTGAGCGACAGTCAATAAGCTAAGTATTTACAAATGCCTGAGGATATAAACAAAAAAAAATCTTTTACGATATATATCTCAAACAAACTTCTTTATAAAAAACGTTTCAGAAATCTTTGTAAATACTTTATATTTTATAGCAAAAGAAAACGACTATTAAAAGTTAACGATCTCAATCCTTTGTTTGCTTATATAATTTCTTGTTATCATAGCAAAATATGTATAATGCGTATAGATCTTAATAAATTGGTGCTACCAGCAGCCAAAACTGGTTTCTGTTTTGTTTCTATAATGAAAAATAACAAGACGTTTATGGCCTTTCTATTTGCCAAATAAAATGTTGGACGGTCGTTAAATAATTTAGAGTAATTGATGAATTGTTGTTTGATAAATTGTATTGGTTCATTATTATATATAGAATGCATATACATATTGCTAAGTATATTTATTAAATAGAATTGATATATTCTTAGACCTTTAGGTCACATTTGAAGATTACGACTTGACCTTTAAATAATGTATGAAAAATATTTCGGATGCTCTTTGATAAAAATAAATGGAAAAGAATTTAGCGCAGTCTTGTTTACGTTCAATGGAATGTAAGATTCGGGACCTTTGAGAATTCTTTATCCTATATTACATATGGAAAATTATATAAAGCTTTTTCTTAAACATCTGGAACATTCATTGCTCATTAATTTGAGCTCTCTCGTTGATTCCACTTGGATGTATCGCAATCGATAAGTACGTGGTAAAAAAAAGATGGTCTGTTTAACAAATTGCTTACTGGTTTTAAATTTCAATTTCATCATACTTAAAATTGGAATGTGACTTGTCGTTTAGGTTTGACCTGTTTGAAAATATTTTTTTTAACAGAAGCGTCTCTTCAACAACAACCAAATTATTAAAAGATTTTAAAACCATATATGAAGTGTTCAAAGGAGTTAAACTAAATATAGGGATCCTGACGGGAAAAACCTGACTTTCGCTTCATTCCACCAACGATAGAAGAAAGTAGATGCCGAGACCGAGACCCGATGGTATCCTATATATAGTGTTAAAAAAATGTGGTCATGGAAGCAAATCCCGGAATCCTTTGGGAAAACAATTTTATCCACATTCTCAAAAAAGATCAAGTTACTGATCCGAAAGTTACTAGACCGATAGCCTTAACGAATACCATCTCTAATTTTTTTTCTCGGTTCTATAAACCAGAATGAAGCGATTTATGCGTAGCAACAGGTATTTTAAGTCAAATCACCTGAAAGGGTTTTTATCCAGGATTTCTGGATGCCTAGAACACTACACTTTGTTGTGAGAGAGCTATAATATAGGACTTTTTCAGGGCATTTTTTTATCACTACATAATATATATGTATATATATATATATTATAGGTGATATATGTAGGTTACACCGCATCCTTATAGGAATAGTAGATAGCTTTTTAAACGATCTTTAAAAGGTAGATAAACAACCGACAAAAAAGCTTGGATCTACGATAATTATGTCATATCACGTTTGAATTGGCCCTTCCTTATCTATGATTTTAATAAAACCTTTTTGTCAAAGTTAGATGCAAGCGTCATAAAGGTGTTGAGTTTGTATCCCGGGCTCGCGCTATCGACTGATCCGTCGGCTTTATTCAGGGATCGCAATATTTTTGGAATAAATCTAAAAAGAGCTTCGGAGATCTATGAATACCTAAGAGTTTCAAAGAGACATATCCCGGGGAAATTCCTTAATGACTTCGATACCTCACTTCCAAAAGACAAAAATGCCCCAGAGTTAGAGTCAAGACTTCAATTAGCGATCGATCAGTAGGTTTTATGAGTGAGGGCACTAGGGCTATAAAATCAAGTGTCAGGCCATACTCTACCCTTATAGCGGCTCTGAAGTGGACTATAAAAATGGATATATATATATATATATATATATATAAGAAACAATACAAAATAACAGAAGATATATTTTTGAGTCAACGTCCAGACCAGACATATTTCTACAGTCGGGAATTTTAAAGCGTTTCCTTAGAATACAGAAGTCCCTAAAGCCTTTAAGGTAAATATCTAAATAATACGAGCTTACTAACGAACTTAATAGAAATAGGTTCGTCGTAAATTTATAGGTGGTAGAAGTGAGAACGAGAGGTATAACTACAAAGTTTCTCTACAACCTACTAAAAGACTTGGGTCTAATTATTATTACAACTAACATCAATTTATACTGAGAACGTACTTCGAAGGCATGCCTAGTATATTCGTATATAAGTAGCTTGAACGGTGGAGGTGAGCGTTTTAGGAGCATTAGATAGAGGTTCTTAAACCTAAACCTGCATCGCAAGTCTCAGGCACTGTTAAAGCTCGTCTCCCTACAACGCGATTGACCCTACACCGTTACGGTGAATCCATGGAAGAATCCTTTTTTGACTTATCTTCTTACAAACAATTTGGTACAATAACCTGTTATATATTAATAGCACCATTTACTGTAATAAACATCCAGAGGTTAAAACACATCAAGATTTTCCGTAAATCAAACGGAGTGAAACAATATCATCCATCTGTTAACACGAAAATAAATATATTCTTAAGATAATTTATTTTGCTGTAGTTGTTTATATTCGAGTTTTAAAAGAAAATGTATTTTCTCGATTTTTGTTTGGTCATACATTTGTTAACAGAAATAAAAAAATATTTTAACTATGAAAATACAAAATTTATTGAAATATTTCTAGCACGATTTTTTTTGCGCATATTTGTTATATCTATTTTTAAATAAAAGATAGTTTATAATTATGTAATGTCAAGGTATTGTCTTTTTCAGATCGAAAATGATTTGAAAGGAAGGTAATGTGAAAATAAAAGTTGTGAACTAACAACGAACAATATGACGATCAAAATTATACTAATATTAATCATGTTGATAATTTACTTCGATAAAAATGATGCAAAGATAAGATTGAATGGATTACAAGAGGATTTTATGATTGAATCTTATAATAATGATCTCGTCAGCGAAGATATCTCTTTACGGCTTAGAAGAAGCGTGGAGCAAGATAAAAATTTATTGATCGGTGATAATAATAAAAGTAAAAATGAAATAGAAGCAAATTCATCGGAGCCATGCGTGGGAGACGCAGAATTTTGTAATATGACGAGAGAAGACTACGTACAGATGCTATATGAATATATATACCCACAAACTTATGAATGGGTATTGATAGGTGTACATACGACGGTGTTTGTTATTGGTTTAATTGGAAACTTGCTGGTGTGCTTGGCGGTGTATAGGAACCATGCGATGAGAACAGTGACCAACTATTTCTTAGTTAATTTAGCTGTGGCAGATTTCATGGTGCTACTGTTTTGTTTGCCGGCTACAGTTTTATGGGATGTTACCGAAACATGGTTCCTTGGTGACGCTTTGTGCAAGATATTGCTTTATATTCAGGTATGTCAATATTCAACTGTTTTTTTAAGTATATTTTTTATTTATTCATAGTTATTTTAAAATTGAAGAAATAATATGCTACAGAAATTTTGTCTAGTAATAATTATCTATTCTAGTATCACAGGGTGTATATATAAATGATTTTAAAATCTTCATTATTCACCTTAAAGAGTTATATAGTCAGTTTGAATTTTGTTCGACATTTTGTCGTAATATAGTTTCACTGTCACACCCTATTCATTTTCGTAACCGGCCTAATACACTGTCAAATATTGACATTAACATCAACCAAATCACTAACGACCTTATATTAAGCCTTTGTAACTATTGAACACACACTTTATCGACAGATAAATATATGTCCATGTAGCGTTATATCTAGTAACTATAGTAGAGAAAATATAATTTGAGATAAACAGTAGAAGCACTTTGTTTCGTCTTATATTAAGACTATCTTTACAAACTACAAATCAATTTTGAATGAAATTCATTTAATGAGCAAACGAAGGAGTTTTAGGTTTCAAATTCTACAATAACTCTGCCGAAATATATTTATATCAAAGTAAAGTTAGCTTATAAATAACTCAACCGAATTTATACTGAAATTAGTTTATGGTAGACGATTTTGTACATACATTTATCTGTTGTCTTCATATCTTATATAATAAGGTGTAATAAATAACAAGTTAACCAAATTTCTAAGAGATTGTATGGCTTCAATTATGAATGTAATAATTAATCTCACTCATGAAATACGTGCCCTTAATTTGTAACATTTCTGAACTGATATGAATGACTGCTAATTACGTAAATTATAAAGAACTTTGCATATTTATAAAAGCCGCTTAAGTTATCTTAATCTAATTTAAAATTACAGATTTTTTTAAAGTTATTTCAAACTTTCAGTCCTCAAATTCACCGGACAGTCCTTTTATTTATATTTTTTTTGATACCAAACACGTTTTTGTCCACTGTTTAATCTATTAAGCAATTTCCCCAACTCGCCACAGTTTTATTAAAATATTTGTGAATTAAATCAAAATTCTTTATTAGATTAAACATTTCACGTTTTTATATTCCACGATGAGATGTCAAAGATTGATTGACATTAAAGAAACCAACATTTAATTAATTTTCTTTGCTTTTGGATAATGTTTTTATATATACTATATTTAAGTAATATTAAATTAATTTTATTATATCTACATATTGTTAAGCTTAAATAAAAAAAACGTCATTATAAAATTTGTATATATAATATGAGTTTGCAACGTTCATTTCAATAAATCAATGATTAAACTTTTTTGTACTAAGACCCAGTTTCACCAATCAATGTTAAAAAAGTAATATCGTGTTAAGACGTTTGATGCTCTGTTAGATGCATCGAGCGTCGCACCACGCACAAATGTCCGTTTAAATGTCTTAACAAGCCACTAATATTAATTCCTGCTCTGGAGCTCCGTTTAATGGCTAACAGAATGTTAATGGCATTTTCAAAACTCAATTGTCCAATCACAACCCTGATTTCTTGTAACCATGGTATCGTTATCTGTTTTGTCAGTTTCGACTATTAATAAAGTGAATTAAAAATTTCATTTAAAATGATGATTTTACCTCCAGCTTTTCTATGACATTGCAAATAAAGTTTTCTTTTTATTTCTTATAATTTGAACACAATTTATGTCTATATTTATAACACAATAATATATAACACAATTTAGTGACAACACGATTTTGACAAGTTACACCTAGTAAATTGAAAAGAAAGCTTTTTGTGTGATAAATGTATGCAACCAACGATATATAAAATTTGGTCGCATTAGCTTACAAGTGACGTATCGAGGGATATATACGATCAAAGTATAAAGTGGTGCATCGTGGCAAACGTGCCGTGTTAAACGCTATAGTTTCCACTTGGTCGTCTTATAACAAGAACGAATAATTTGGTAGTCGGTCATTTGACATGACGTTTAACAATGCGTGGTTAATTTGTTATTGTGGGACGTAAATATTTAAAGAGACATTTATAATTTTGAAGGTTGGTTAGTAAATGCTGTGATTAGATTAAACAAACATTGATTGGTGAAACTGGATCTTAGTCATAATTTTATATTGGAAATCAAAATATATATTTTTGAGAGCTAATTTAGAGAAAATATCGTAGTCGTAAAATAATAGTACTTGAAAAGTATGCGGAACGACGTTAAGTTTAAAACCTGTAGTTAAATTATGAGAAATAAAATATTTCAGAAACGAAAATGAGAAAAACATGTTTTATACATATACCAGTTTGGTTCTACAGATAATTATGTAAAAGATACCAAACCCTTAAGATAATACATTGTTATAAGTATTAAAATTGATTATCAGGAATTTCATTAATATGACATAGTTTTGATACTAGAACATCTTAAATGAGATACTTTGGTATTTAATCGATTAACTTACTAGTTTAATATGACTTAATTTTTAATAGAAAGGCTCTACAATCGTTTTGTTACCTTTGTATTGTCGTTTCGGTTCTAAGTTATCACGCAAATGAAACATACTAAGATCAAATCCTTTGAGATAAGTGTAGTCCTTTATTATGACTATCAAAATCCTAGATTGTACTTATTAATAGTAATGATCATATAATTTCTTTGTTTCAGTCAGTATCAGTGACTGTGTCAGTGCTAACACTCACATTCATCTCTTTGGATCGCTGGTACGCTATTTGCTTCCCTCTCAAATTCAAGTCTACTATAAACAGTGCAAAAACCGCTATACTTGTTATATGGGCCGTGTCTTTGATTTTCAGTAAGTATGACATTTATACTATGTTTTAAAATATTACGCATGCTAAGTAATTATTCGTAAATATTGTATATTTGGAAAAGTTATATTATCAGCGTATTGGGAATGAAGTTTTTTCTATATTTTTATACTTAAAACATAGTAAATTAATGTTACATATATTTGTAATATTAAAATAGTACTCTATTCTATGTATAATTGAAGTAGAAATAATGCAAAAGCTACAACTCAGAATAAAACTACTTTTTTAATTTATATATTTTTTTAATATCAATATGTATATACATATATACTAAATTGACTTTTCTGTTATGGGAACGTTGAGTTCGTAACATCTACTCCAAAATAATGCAATCGATTTGTATTCCCTTGAATCTAAAAAAAGAAAGATTGAAATGGGAATTTATTCATATGAGTTTTTTCTTTCATCCAATACATTTGCATTTCAGAATAACCAACAATTCATTTTACTTAATGTAATTTAATTAATCAACAGACATAGCTTTAGACAGACCTTAAAGAAGTTAGAAGAATTATGGTTATTAATTAAAATTATTCTAGATATCTTCTTCAAATCCCTATTATTGTGAATCTTATACCATTTTTAGAATTAATTTACTAGGTTGATAAGTAAACAAATGTTATTATTACTGTTTCTTGTAGACTGTCTTTTATTAGAATTTTGATTTAGGTGTTATTTTGTTGCAGAGATTAGTAATCTTATTGTCTCTATTAATTAATTCGATTAATCCGAATTCATACAGTTATTAATATTGTAAGCATAATATTTATATAGTAATATTAAAAAATGATGACTTGAAAATTTTATATCATTATTAAAGGCATGTTATTTGAAGTTTGAGGTATGTTTATGTGTATAAAATTTTAAACATATTTCATAGATACGCCAGAATTAGTGGTGCTAACAACGGTGAAGGTAGTGCCCTTGAGGTTTGATCTAGAGTACTTGGTTCAATGTACCGCAACCTGGTCATACAGCAGCGACCTCATATGGCATATCATCAGGATTGTTTTTATTTATACGTAAGTAACTTTCACCTGAAAAAAAAAACCTATGAGGTTTATCTTAGGACAAAACATTCAATAAAGATCATTCAAACTTCTCTTTCAAAGACCTCTATCCTAAAATTACTGAATATGTTTTTGTGAACACAATTATACAGATCTGAAAGTCGTAATATTACAGGGTTCCACTTCTTTTGATGACTGTGGCATATCATCAGATCGTGAGGGTTCTGTGGAGTTCACAGAAGATTCCAGGTTTAGCTGAAACCATGAAACTAGCGTCAGCTGAACAAAGTAAGTTGTATATGTTGGGTACACTTTTATTGTGCGTGTTCATTTGGTTATTGAATCGAGAAATAAAACTAAGATTTTCGGACATAATACGCGTGTTTTATTATTTTAAAGACATACTCACGACGTTTAGGTGCCTTTGCAGTAACCGTGATCACGGGTAGACGAGATGAAAATGTCTCGAGGTCGAGATTTTATTTTACCAAAGTTACAAAGTGAAAATGATTTTCTGTATATGACACTTCTCATTTTTATACAACAGAAATTAAGGCTAAATACGTTATATATTCGTTTCAAAGACAAACATCCGTATGATTAAGGAAGTGAAAGCAAATTTGAGTGAAATTACATTCCCTTCATTGCTTAACTGAGCAGAACATATTAAATGAATGTCGTTTTATCACTTGCATATTGTTCCAAATTTTATGATCAAAATAACAAAAGGATTCTTTTGTTTTGGCGTTGACATTCAAGCGTCATTTGTAACAAATCGTGTGGTGGTATATACTTACTTTTGTAAAAAATATATGCTAATTTGGTGTTCAATAGCTTACCTTACCTTAACTAAAAGAGATGAAAAAAGGTGTCACTCAAAATAAGTCTATACCAGATTTTACCAACATATTATTAGAATTAAGGTTATTTAATTACATAATATTTCATGAATTTAAAATGGAAATATGATACTCTTAATAGATTGTGAATCCTTCTACTAGATCTAAAAATATCTTTGTTCCGTTTTATGTATTATACTGCAACACACCCCATTATTATAAACTCTTAGAAAGTTATAGTGTACTTTTAGGGTCGTTCGGTAACTCCGGAGAGTATAAGTTTATTGAAAATGTTCATAAAACATATCAAACAGAATAGCTTTATTTTAACGACATAAATAAAACGTGGTATTAAATTTGAAGCGGTCAGTTATAAAAGTTGGAAGCTACGCTACTGGCGTCATATGAAAATTGTCGAAATTATATTTCGTAATATTTATCAGTGAAAAATTTAACTGAATCATGTGCTCACCCGCAAATCGATTTTCTATTTTAGAAAACACCGTGGGTGTACTTACAAATATAGTTTCAACTCGGATATTTTGTCTAGGAGTACAGACAAACAAACGTTCATTTTCTTTTATTAGTAATGCAACACCAATAATTATTATCCAATGATATTGATCAATAATTAATTAAATAAACCTTATTTTTTTAAACATTAATGTAAACAACTTTTTTCTTGTTATTAGGAGTACCAATAGTATAGATTTACAAGAAAAATGAGAATTTTTTATTCGTTTACAAAATAAATAGTAATAATTTATCTTAGTTAATCTGAACATAGCCTTAACTCTTCGTATGTGACCGCATACAATTACACGTGTGTGTTTAATTCCTAATCCACAGAGTAAAGACAGACTTAATTTTAATCATAAAAGTTGTAAATCAGGTAAATCGTTTGACATATTATATATCGTTCATAGAAATTTAACATAATTACCTCAAGTAATAAAATATTTTTTGGCAAAGAGTTAAGTTTTATTTTATTTAAACTTTAATAAATAAAAATAAAATTAATTTATTATACTAAATACATATATGACGCCATTAAAAATACATGTAAACTGATTTAATGTTCCTACTAAATAGCTAAAATAATTAAGACTGGATGAACTATTTAAAATAATTTGAATAAGTAAGGTTAACGAGAAAAATATAGGCCTTTTCTCTTTATCCTCTGACATATTTTTAAGACGAGTCTTTGTAGATCAAGCTTATATAATTTGCATATTTTAATCACCATCGTTAATATCTTTAGCGATTTAAATTAAATTCGTAATTAAATATTTTATCTGAGGTTTATTAAATTCTTTAATTTCTAAACTAACTTGAATACATTGAATAAAGGCAGAATAGATAATTGAGTTATGAGAATCTAAGAAATTTTTAACTTAGAAGTGATTTAAACAGTTATTCATTCATAAGCATTAGTAATAATTGAGATCTAGGAACATGTTTGCTTTTGACTTTAAAAAAATCATTTCTGAGTTTCAGTTACCGTTACAAAAGGACTAAGAGCATAACTACTGTTTTTTTGAAAAAAAAAACAATTTATTTGATCACTTGATTCTTTTAAAGCTCGGTTTTTTATTCTTACTTAGGAATTCTTTAAATGAAGAATTATAGCTATTTATATGAGCTATATATTATATAGGGTCATATAAATCTACCGCATATGAAATTCAAGAACAATTTGATAAAAAAATATAAAAAAACATTATCTCTATAATACGAGAGCCACATTTCAAAAAAACATAGTTATCAAACAGCATACAGAAGTTGAATTTCTGTTCAAGTTATACTGTTTTCAGATACATAAAAAAATTAAGAGACCCTTGAGTAAAATAGTTTTCAAACACTACCAAACTGAATTTGTTACTAAAACTTAGCAGAAATAAAGAACTTTAAAGATTCATGCACAAAAAAGTGTTGCGAGCGTCGAATTCGAAATACGTGCCACATGTTGCCAGTTAGTGAAGAAAAAGATATAAAGTTTTCATGTTTATATAAGAGAAGGTATGTACTGAATAAATATAAAGTTACATACAAAGCAATCCTTTGGATTAATTTAAAAGTAATTAATTTCAATTCAATCAGTGTTAGTGGTATATGAAAATCGTAAACTTTATAGTAAGGGCTTATACCAAAAACATTGAAATAATTGAAGTAATTTTTAAGTCCATTATTGCCGCTATAACTAGATATATACTTACTTATTTACTTTATGAGAAATAGTTTTAGGAAGCATCTTACCAGAAATACTTCTTAATAGAAATATTGAGTTATTATTGATAATTCTGAAGCCGTTATTGGTTAACAACAAATGAGTAAAGTCTCATATGTGACACGTTCATAAACTTCTTATAGCTTTATCAGATTACCTGATGGATATTACTAATAAAACGGCTTTGTTTACTTTGTGAAAAAATAACGAACATAAAATATAGCTAAATATTGGTTTAGGTATTAATTTTTTTATCCTACAAGAGGGTTTAGACTATTGATTTTGGCTTATGATTTGTTTAGAAAAAAAATATTACAGTAAGCCGAAATAAATCGGTTCTTGAAAGTACATAGTTAGTTTAGGTAAACGCAAGGTATTTTTAAAAGTCTAAATGTATACCAAATAAATAAATATGAAAATAAGTTTCTCATGAGTTTGATATATTATAAATTCGAATGTTTTTCTTAAATATCAATGCTTTATGTGACCTTATTTGGTGCAATATGTTATGATTAATATTTAATCTAAATCAATTGACATTCTCGCCAACTGTTGTTACTAAATAAAAGTTTTCAGACACATCTTTTATGTTGGAAGTACGACCATTGCGGATAAAATATTTTAATTTATTGATTATGATTAAAAATTATGTTATCTTTTTGTTTTTTTTTTCAGTCCAACTGCAATCTCGTCGTAAAGCTGCTAAGATGTTAGTAGCTGTGGTAGTGATGTTCGCTGTTTGCTACTTCCCTGTGCACCTGTTATCTGTACTCCGGTGAGTTTATTATAAAAGAAATATTTCCATTAATATGCGCAAAACTCTAGAAACAAGCTATATAAAATGTTCATTGACTTCAATACCTTTACGATTGTTTGTTTCTTTAATGATGTATTTTATTTTATTTAGTACCAGATATATTAAGTTTAGGTAATCATAAAATATTTTTCAATTTATTTAGAAGCTTATGCAATTTATAAGTAAATAGTTGTATAGTACTATCGTCTCAAATGTGTATATCCTCTTGGGAGTTTTTTGCATGAAAGTTTTGTTCCGAGTTTATGAACCAAGACTTTAGTTGTTGTACTCAAATACGTATTGGTTTTTGAAATTAAATGAATTGTGATTAAACCTATGTAAGATTTCAATTCAATGTGTCTAATATATTTATATTATGTATAATTATACATAAATATCTACAAATACATGTATGTATAAGCGATTAAACATTTCCAAAGATATTCTATTCAAATTTAAACATGTCGATCAGTTATAACTTACAACTATTTCGTAATACAAAGTCGTTACTTTGTTTGATACAAAGTCCATTTATTAATCAAATAAACCAATACAAACTTACACGTCATTGCAAATCGAATACATATTGACACATTTGAATTCTCAAAGTTATGCTAACTTCAAGAATTATGAAATGTACCTAATAATCTATAGATCCGCATACCGTTTTATTATTTATAGCTATTTAAAAAGCCTCGGTATTTTATTTAAAATTAGCACCAAGGAAAACCATTCTTATGACACAAACCAAACCTTGAATGAATATTTTAATAGTCTAAGATTGATAATTATTTGGTCAAGTATTTGTAGAATTATCAAATACAAGCTCTAATAATAATTAATTCCATAACTCAAGTTACTATTCAAGATTACATTAATAAACATATAAAATGTGTTTTTGAAATTTTGAAAACGAGACAAATATCAAAGATTTTAAATAAGTGTTTAAAAGCTTTGATAATCCAGTAGTCGTATCTGTATTTACGAATACATATTGTAAAAAAGATTTCTATTGAAATTATTTAAGAATCGACTTAATCAATGAGAAATTTCTTTACATATTTAAGGATTTTGGTTAATTATTTCTCTTATTTTTAAAGCAACGTTTATATGTATTACGTCGAGGACAAATAACCAAAACAATGGTTATTCAAAGTATAATGAATCTTTTTATAAGCGTAGGTAATAGTTTTAGGAGAGTTGTTCACCACACCTTTAAACGATTTTTTCAATTAGGAAACAGAGAGTTAAAGGAGAAGAATTGTTAATCGAAAATTCTATATTTATAATGTTTCAATTTACTTTATATTGGATCTAATTTTCTTTTAAATTTAAAAGAAACTAATTTAGGATAACAATAGTCTGATTTTATTAAAGGTACCTTTAATTTACTTGAGACTTATCCTTACGAAAACAAACGAGAGAACTGAAAAGATAATCCTTTTTAAACATTAAGTTTGTTCAACCCTTTGAGAAATCTATAGTAACTTTTCATATGGAATAATAGGATTTTGTACATAAGTATTATATTACTTAAGTGTTTCATAAAATTCTGCCATTTGGATATAAATTGGAAGTGAATTTAAAAGGAATCGTGCTAGTTTAAATGAAAATATTGGAAATATTTATGTCTCTGTGTGTGCCTATTTTTAGATGGATCTTTAATGATATTTGTTTAACCTTCATAAATATATTGTAACCATTATCATATAATTATTAAACCATTGATGAGATTTGTTAATTTATATCTAGATAATGTTAATATATTTAAGATATTTTCTTTAATATTGAACTGAAGAAATATCAAAAAATTTGCTAGTATAATCAAAGAAAGTACTCAATATATTGTACATACAGAATTTAAAATTGAGTTTGTTTATTGTAAATTTTCAAGAATTTAGGTAACATGTAACTCGTAATTTATACAAATATTATTATACTTTTGAAATATTGTATTCAATGTACCCCATATAATTAAATTACGGTACGAATGAAGGAATCAATGTTCGAAATCAATAAGGTTTGGAAATACATATGCGAGTTACGTATAAAAACCAGCCAGGGAAACTCCTAGTCATTTACAGACGAAGAATATTATATAGATATTAGGAATAGGAATAAAATTTTCTGTTTTTTCCTCATAATTTTCTAAGTTTTTAATCGAACAAAATGCATAAGCAAAATCTTTAATTCAATTATCCATTACCTAGTGGTTTTATCCCATACGATCGAAGTGCCGACGAAATAGCATCCATTAAGGATAGGAGAGTTGTTTCACCACAACGTATTTATAAAACCTATATTTTACAGGTATCTGGATATGGAACAGAATGACATGATCACTTGTTTGGCGCTAGTATCACATGTTTTGTGTTATGTTAACTCAGCTATCAATCCATTGATATATAACTTCATGAGTGGTAAGTATATAATATATATATAAATATGTTAAAACAAATGTCCATATTGTTTAATTTTTTCTAAAACGTATCTAAAAGGAATAGCTGTTTATAGCTTAAGTTCCTAGCGTATATAATATTTATTATCACACTACAATACTTTTCCGTTAATACATATAGATATATTTTTAGATATTTAAGGAAAGAGTAAATAAGCTCTGACAGAGCTTATATCTTTACCATCTATGGCTATATTTTCTCATACTATCAGATCATAAAGATCAAAACATTAATACTTAGAAAAATAAAGTTCCGCTATAAATCTACTGACCTAGTTGAAGTTAGAAGAGTCTCTTGCAAGCCACCCCGACTTTAAGTATTTGCAGTAACCGAAAAGCTTCTTAAATGTTATGTTTATTGTTACACATTTTTTCTTTATTTTCCATTTGCTAAGACATCTCAAAGAATATTGTTGATTATAGAATATATTTCAAAAGCAGTAAGTTTGTCTTGCTTGTTTTTGAATTCTGAAAATAACATTATTAAAACATATAGTTGGCTTAACTTGGTTTAAGTCTACATAATTTTGAAAAAACATCTTTGTTTTGACTGTTCTAATTATTGTAATCTTTTTTATCTTTTTTTATTAAAGTTTATTTTTATTACGTGGAGTATAAATTACTAGTATATATTAACATAATTAGTTTTTCATTTCAGGTAAGTATAGACGCGAATTTCGCCGTGTGTTCTGCTGTAATAAAAATCTCAGCAGGAATACATTTACCACAATGACTCGGCTCACAACGTCTCGCAAGAAATATGAAACTGACAAAACACAGAGGAGCTCTTTAAAATTTCACAAATGTGAAAACATGGCTTTGAGACACCATAATTGTGGCTTAGCCTTAAAGTCACAATGTGATCATATGGCCCTTAAAGGCAGGGTTAATGAATTGAACCAAGGGTTTAGGGTATGTGAAGATGTTATGAATAACGGTCAGAGGTATTCCATTAAATCAATCGGTTTCTAGGCTACGAATATATATATGTATATAATGCTTATTTATTTAACCGATTCTCGTTTTTGCTTGTTGTATATTTGTTTTCAATCATTATTGATTTATTATTAGTTATCTTGATAGCTTTAAAAAACTATGGCCTTCAGTTATTGGTTTAAACTGTACAACGTTTATTTCGTACTTGAAATTTCTAGTGCAATGATTTTCATTAAAATTTTTCGAGACCTAATGACATATCCAAATAAAACAACTATAAAAGGTTACTCATATTTATAAAGAATGATACTATTGTTAAGAAAATATTAAATTTATTATTCTTTGTTTCCTACTAATCTTAACAGGATTTACAAAGAACATTGTGTTTCAGTCGTACTTTGAAGGTTTCTATTATTTATACTTAATTTTTCATATGTGAATATCAGACAGTGAAAATCTCATAGAAAATATAAAATATATTACTTCTTAACATACCTCTGTAATTACAATATTTTTTACTGTTATTAAAATCTGATTATTATTAAGTTTAGTTATGAAATTGGAATGTATTAAAAAAAGTAATATAAACGCTAAATATAAATGTAAGATGAAAGAAACAATAAATGTGTATAAATTATTATTATATTTTAAGTATATTGGTGTATACCTACCGTCTAGTCTGTATTAAATATATTATGTGCATCTGTAAGTATTTATAAGTATATAGTCATAAGTATATAAGATTTCTTACGTAAGCATATATTTAACAGAACTAAGTTAATTCGTTACTGTAATTCCTGTAACTTAAGCAGTGTAATTTAATTCTAGTTTATATATGTATAAATTAATCTATGAAATCTGTAGATCTTGGCTTTTATATAAATAAAATATTAAGAAACAATTTTTATATTTTTGTTTTTTACATTATAACATATACATACTATAGAAATATTCTTAATTTTTACGTATATGTTAGAATATATGTAGTAAACGAAAATACAAGATTAATATTACTTTGTAAATAAAATAATAACTAAATTTAGAAGCTATTCTACTTAAAAAGCTATTCTACTAAATTTAAGTTATTGGTTAGCAATTTTAAATAACATAAAATTGTTTCAAAATGAATTTTCCTTGACTACTTATTGAAATAAAGTGACATCTGTCATGTTTTCTCGAAACTATATCAAATACCACTTTCTCTGAATTTGTTATTTTAGTGATGACATCTAGGTGAAAGAAACGGCTTCAGCTTTAGTGTTGCAAAGTGGGATAATTTTATGATTTAAACATAGGTATAATGTGGGTGATCTTTATAAACAAATTATTGCAAATGGTAAAGAAGTAGACGAAAATAAAATTAGTTTAAGTTAAACTTATATAAAAATGAATAAATTATTTAGGTTCATCCACAATATTGTTAATACTTAATAATTTTACTATTATCATAATATTTTTTAAAGGATTTTATATTTTAGTTTTATTAAAGTTTTCGAAAGCCGAGGCTCCAGTGGCGCCACCGGGTTGTAACAGAAAAGTGGCCGCACTAACGAACGATACATTTTCATCAAGTTGTAAGGAAGAGTAGCTTGTGCTTTTACAGTGAAGGATACGTAAAATTGCCCACGTATTGTGAGTGGAGTTGAATAATGATCTGTGAAGTGACTTAATAAAACAAGGAGGTGTCAAAAGATTATAAATATATACATCAAAACTTTGGTCTTTGAATTTCAAAACTGTTCGTCATAACTTTCTAGGTTTATTTTACATCTAATAATTTAATATTGTACTTATTACTCTATATCGACTTTTATTCAAACATTAATAGTGAAGCAAGTTGAGAAACCCATGAACTGATTAAATACCCCAATGAATTGATTAATAATGTCAAATTTATATTAAGTGATCCGACATTCTACATCCACGATAACTAAAGGTTTTCTAAGAGATTTTTAGCTACAGCTATTTATTTAAATTCTTTATGTGGTTTTACTACACAAACAGTAAGAAAGACGAATTCTTATTCATTTCAACCGACAAATGTAGAAATAATCTGAATAAAAACTTTAGATATCATTATGTTATCAAAACATTAAAAATCTGTGTTAAAGTCTCCAAAATTTGTTTAAAAATTCTTAAGTTATTCATTATCTATACGTATGATCACTTCAAATTGATCTACAAGAGATGAGAGTTTTTATCTAGAGGCACGGCTGATAAAATCGTTGTGAATTAAATTCGAAGCCTATGTTTCTAGTAAGCAAACAAAAATTAAATGAACACATTTTATTTCAATTCATTCCATTAAACCAGTAGTTTAAAAATTGTAATTAGTTAAAGTTATTAATTTTGTTAGCGACATGATTAACCTATCACGAAAATTCTAAAGCACTTGAAGTTTACCATGAAGCGTCAAATTTTTAATACGTTTACTGGTTAGTGTATAAATTAAGTAAAAACTAATATGTATATTTTTTAAGGTACACTATAAATAAATGTAGGTCGTATCATAAGTCAGAGAGTGGGTTTTCAGAACATTTGTTGATACTATTTGACAAGTAAACGGTACTGAAAAAGAAAGAAAAGAGCTTTATAAAAAGAAATAGAAATAAAAAGATAAGAGGTGCCATCAAAAATAGTCAATGCGATTTTGTAATTTAATTAAACAATTTAAATTACTATAATATGTAGAAACAATGAGTTACATTGTGTTTTCATGCAATGGGGGGTTTTTAAATTAATGAAGTCACTAAAAAGTTGTTAGATGAGTTTATTATATTATAAGTTAAGACTGAAGGTGCCTTGAGCAAGGAATAAATCAATATTGGTATTAATATCAAAATTGGTATTACATGTGAAGTATTGGTTTAAATAACGATAAAACTTTAATTTTAATGGCAACGACTTTCCGGATTCTTGATAAAACTATTCCATACTTTAATTGGTTACCGTTTAATCACGAACTTTAATATTAACAGCCTTCACGTATTTTTTTTTATTAATTGAATTTATTTTCTTCTTTCTCTCCTCACTACTCCAAGGCTCGCCTGCCTCACTAACTTATCGCTTAGTTAATTTACCTCTATTTTCTGTTCCGATATGCTATCAATCTATTTAATCATCATAATAAACTGGATTGTACAAAATGCATTTGTTATTGGAGTAATAGATATGTTAACGAAAGTTCTACGAATATTTTTAAAACAAAACGGTTGATATTTTAGTTATGTGAAACTGTGGAAGGTATTTAAGAAGTTTATTGAGAATAAAAAAAATATGACAATTATTTAAATGAAAAAGGAAGAGAAAGTCGCAAAGCAAACGCCTGTTACGAAAGTTTTCAAATAAACAAACACGTATATAGTACAGTTATTTTGCACAAAATGTTTACAAACTTGAACTGCTGATATGACTGTTTAGACCTAATTCAAATATCGTAAAAATCTGTTAAAATCGAAACACTAAAGAGAGTTTTTCACGAAATTCAGAATTAGATTTAAAGAGTTTATACCAACTATAAGATTTGTAGTATAATATCTGAAACATGAATACATATATATCATATTTTATTATGACTATTTCTTTTAACATCCCCGCAATGAATACGCTCAGTTCCTCTATAAACAATACGATATCAAACTTGGATGGTCTCGCGGAGCATGCTATAGTTACTAACAGTGAAACTTTTCCATACATGGTGGCGATATTGAAAAAATCAGTTTATATAAGTGCTGGAGCTTTGATTGACCAGAGCTGGGTCCTAACGGGCGCTGATTCCTTGTTTATGTGAGCATTTTTAATTATATATATATTACCTAAATCCTCTTTGCCATAAGATTTTATATAATACATTCTTGGAATTGGAATACAGCTACAAATTTTAATAATTCATTTTAGGATTAGAGAAACTACAAGGTTAATACGAGTTCGTCTTGGCAGCGTTAATTATAAGGAAGGGGGTTATCTAACTGGTATTAAGTTCTTTGAAATACATCCTTATTTCGATGATAGTAAGCCACTTTTTGACGTGGCGCTTATAAAACTACCCCATCCAGTGAGAATGACCCCTAGTTTGAATCCAATAAGACTCCAAAAAAGGTATCGTGATGTGATTCCACCTCATTTCACGGTAACCGCATGGCCGAGACGGGTGAGTCTTTAGCAATTAAGTTGAAGGTTATTAAATTGTATTTAAACAACTAAAATCTTTGAAATACTTCCCACTATATTATGTAAATATATTATTAAAATTGGAGTTAAAATATAACGCCATCTTTTTAAAGAAACTCATTTCCATTTTTACGCAGTAAGAAAAATAAGTCTTTTAATAATTGACATTATATTTTTATACGATATTCCATTCCATTATACAAATTAACCTCAGTATGTACAAATGATTGATTTATATACATAATAAAATTTTCAGGGCAGAAATACCTCAGGTCATTGGGAATCTCTAGAGGATATCAAACGACGAAGATTGTTATCTGTAACTCATTTGCATCCTTTGGACCCTGAGCAATGTTCAGATGACCTCGATACTTGGGTGCCAGATTTTAATAATAAGAAATTGATCATGTGTCTTGAGCCACCTATTAATGGTGACCCTTGTGAGGTGATGTACATTTAATTGTATCAAGTGATTTTTACAATTTAATCTGTTTTTTAATTTTAATGTTCATTATGATTTCAATTACACGTCAAAATTTATGTAGTTTAATCTTACACCTGTGTTGTCGCTCAAAATAAATATGTATAAAATTTAATGTTAACCGCTTTTACATATCTGTTTTGAAATTGATTTGAAACTTTTAACCGATCAAAGAATATACTTTTTAAATATAATTTTTAAATTATTTATCGAACGGACTAAACTGTGATTACATGTTTATTTTTATTTTCAGAGAGATATAGGTGCTCCGGTTGTTCTCAATGGGATTCTATGGGGCGTGATATCGTCTTGGAAGTCTGAAGATTGTGATGTTGATGGTGATTCCATATTTATGTCTCTAGTTTCAGCTGTAGAGATCAGCTCCTGGATTCATTCCACTATTCATTCACATAGATGGACGAAGAAACACACTATAGATTACGATGATAACTTCATTTGAAAGTTATTTTATTTGAGACCCTAAAATAAAATTGTTTCAACTTTTCCCGTGTAATATTTTAGTTGGTTTAATGTAATATATGTATAAAAATTGATATGCACAGTTCTTGATATTTTAGAATAAAGCTTTTTAAATTATTACAAGTTTAAGCTTTTGTTTTTGGAGGATATGAAAATAAAAAGAGTTCTCTGTTTTAGTTTTGCGTTGTTATAGTTTTTGTTTCCGGATAAATATTTTTAAACCATATTATGTCTAGGTCCCGTCTAAATTCCACAGATTTTAATATTGTATTACAGCCTATGTGAAATTCTCACGTATGTGAAACACTGTTGTAAAGTATTAAAAAAATCATGATAAAAGGCAAGGAGTAAAAAATAAATAATACGAAAACAGCATTTTTAATATAACATATTGCACATTTATAATGAGACTAGTTCATTATTTTTTTTCGGTTATTTTAATATTGGTATCCTTTTCATTTGCCTTTCTATTTGTCTAACTGTTTTATTGTTTATATTTGGTAAGACTGATAAAGCATAGATCGCTCCATATAAATTAATACACGCAAAAATGTAAAACAGTGTGTACACTCCAAAAAGTTCCTCGAGTTTCTTCAATGTGAGGATGTGTACGAGCCTTAAAATTTCAGCGTATGTAAAGATTATGGCTAACACTGTTGCTCGAATCTGTAATTATGGTAAATACATATAAAATTATTATCATTCTTAGAAAAATATGATTTTCATATGTCTAGATTTTTAGTCATTGTTGGAAAGCCTAGAAAAGAAATACAATTTTTGTGTAAGTTTCTTATGTTCTTTAATATTATCTTTATGTTACAGAACATGACTTTGAAGCAAAAATGACGACTTATCAATAAATTAATCTAGACAAATTCTATTTTTCCTTCTATAGGAAAAAAAGACTATATATAATAACGATGTCTTTGTTTGATTTATTTCTATTTTCATTATTTCCATCAATTTTTTTAAACTAGTTTATTTCCATTAATTTTCATATTCATATATTTGTTTGTTTTGTCCAAGAAAAATACAATTAGGTACGTTATATTAAACAAATCTTAATGGATGATTATTAAAGAAACTTCCTTTTGAGCACCAATAAAGAATATTGAATTCTTTATTTTTTCAGTTATAATGATATAAATGATTTATAACAACAATGACATTTCATTTCATGTAAAACTATAACAAAAACCCTGATAATCCTGACCAAAAAGATGTAGAACCTAATATTAGATATTGGCTTAAGAAACAAATAAGATTTACCTCCAAATTAAGCATTTCCACTAGAATTACTATTGGTAAACACCATGTAAGACCATATCCAAAAATTAACACGTAATGAGCTGCTACTGGCAGCCATCTCAGAGATGTCACAGTCAGATCAGCTTGCGTGAAAACTGCCAGTGTACCCATAGATAGCACCATGATTGAATAACCGAAAGTCAGAAGATACTAAAACAGAAATGGTTATTATAGTAGGCATACTTTATATGGAGCAAGAATTATTATGAACTATTTCCTAAACTGGAATACCTATACTTGAACAAAACAGTAGGCTTTTTTGCAGTTTTACATCAATATGTTTATATTAAATCATTTGTAAAATTAAGAGTAACAATTTAAATTAATTGCATTAAAGTATTACGTACGTACTTAATTTTAATGGTTAGATAAAAAAAAATACAATTCTATTTGATTTTAATATTAAAATTGTTAGATATATATTAACAATATTTTTTCTAATCAATATGAAGTTATTAGCTAACGAAGCCAATGTACAGGAAAAGCCTAAGAATATAATTAATTAATTTTGAACCTAAGCATACATAATATAAAACTCACTTTTCTTTGTACTATTTCAATAAGTGTTACACAAACGAGGGCGCCCGCGGTCATGCATACTAACACCAAAGCCTTTTCAGTATCCCCTGAAGTTTTCAATTGTACGAGTGTTTTATCCTGGTCCAGAAATAAAATGCTCCCACCAAGAACTGTTATTGTACTCAACATAAAACCCACTTTTATTTCGTCCCAATATATTTTGTTTCTGTCTGAAATAATACGAATATGTTAAGAAAGTTTTATATTTTAAATGTGCAATATATGTGTTATAATATTTCAAATACTTTTTATGTGATAAGAATATTTGATTTAAAACTTAACATTAAACACTTACAAAGACTTGAAATTAAAAATTTGCCATTTGGTTTGGCGCGTTCGCTTTCTTCAGTGAGTACCTTGATTTTGTTTGTAACATGTAAATCTTCAGGCGATAAACATTTCAGCTTTGCCATATTTATTTTAGCTTTCTAAAAAACATTTAAATACATTTTAATGTAATTATAATGAGACTTATCTTAAACTCTAATCGATAAGAATAACCGTTTAATGAGTGAGCATGAAAGTAACAAGATCATCCCTTAGAAAAATTGTAAGCTATTAGCTTTACTAAAACCTCATCTATAAATAGAACGTTAAGTGAAACTTCTTAAGGCTTTCATAAAATAGGCCTACATCTCAAGCGACCGTGTGGCCTAATGGATAAGGCGTCGGACTTCGGATCCGAAGATTGCAGGTTCGAGTCCTGTCACGGTCGAAATAATTTTAGTTTTTGATATAGTATATCAAATTTCATAAAGATTTTCGAATCGTCTTTATTATATATTTTATTTTATATCTGCTAGCTATTTTTATGTGTAAATTCTATTACACACTGAATGCAATAAACACCAATTCAAGGACATTAATTTGTTTAAATAAGTGGCAATATAAGTAGTTGTTTAAGGCATTTTCTCTGAAGAACTCAGAAGTCTTGGAATGCGTATTGTAAGAAATAAAATATTTTTACAAGACAAATATTTCAACTGGAGTAACATCAGTTAAATAAATAGGTGATAATTAAGATTACAGATATGGAAGGCTTTATTTATTTTATGAGATTTTTATTTATCTCAACTGGGTAGTACGTGCTTATTATCTATATGATTCATAAAAACTCCTTCATTTACCCGAATAATTTAAAAAATACCATATCAATATCACAGTGAATTAATTTAGTGGAGTACTGGCAAATATCTTTTAATTAATATGGAAGTTTGTTAGGATAAATACAAAATTAAATGTAACTAAAGAATGTTTTAAGCATGCATTAACCTACCTCAATTTTCCCATTTCTAACCAAATAACTCGGTGATTCCAAAACAATGATCAGTGCACAAAACTCAAACAGTACCATGGCAGCTATCAAATACAGCATCTTATCTGTACTCATCACCAGCTTCACTAAGTAGCCACAGCAAGTCATGACCGCACTTAAACAGATCATTAGTCCTCGGCTTCTAGTAGGAATGATTTCCCGAATGTAAATTGGCACTGACAGAAACATGGCCGCTGTAGACACTCCAGTCAAAGCATGAACTATTATCGTTCCTATATCGTTTGGCGTAATAAGAAATGGTATACAGGAAGCCTTAAAAGAGGTAAAAATTATAAATAAGTAAAAGAATAAATTAATCATAATAATAAATATAAAAAAACAAAGTATATATCAACAATATAATTATACATAAGCAACTAACCCCTTGTAATAATATTACGAGATATATACCAAACTTTCTGCCCCATATATCTATAAGATAGCCATGTAAAGACAAGCTGAAGATTGCCCCAAGAAGCAAAGCTATAGTCGTCCAGGGAACATCATCACTTGTTTTAAAGTGTCCCGAATGAACTGATATTGTAAGGTTATGGCTCTCAACTCCATGGTTGAAGAATAGTAGACTAACTAGAACAAAAACTTGATTAAAAAAAAGTATCAAAATATTTCGTTATGGAAATAGCACTAAATATATCCCCTGGGTAATAGTACTCTTATGCTAGTCTAAATAACATGGAAGTTCATAATTTTAATGTCTAGATTATGACTTTTGTCGTATATGAAAAGTAATAGTTTTCATTAATAATTCGTAGGATATATTTGTGTAGCCAATTTATAAATAATAAAAAAAACTTTATATCAAGGGGCAATAGCTTTATATTAAAATCTGTATACGAATAGGAAATAACAACTTCATTTCATTGATACTTTCGCTTTGATAATAACAAATAAAGTATTAGAAAATCAGAGATAAATAAGGGAGATATTAAAACCGAATATTGAATTCATATATTCTTAAAATATTTGTTGAAAAAGTTTATTAATAATAACATTTTTGAAGGACCAATAATATAATCGCCCATCAAATGCCCTCATTTCATTAAGTAACGGTGAACTAATCATCAAATAAGTTTTCGTTTGCTAGTTACAAGCAAAAAGGAACTTTGTTTTATTTTGGAAAATACTAGATAATTGAGATGTAACTAATATATATTTTTAGCATCACACACTTTTCATTTTATATTTGATACTTATGTAGTCCATGTTTTTGTTCTATTCAAGACACAACAACAAAACAGTGAATAAAATTAAAACAAGAATAGGTAGTTAAAAAAATTAAGCATGTAATTTTAATGGCATCATTGCATATAAACATTAAGATAAAACTTTAGATTTGATACACAAAGATATAACTTTGTGACAGTATTACATTTCTAGTTCAGAAGAATATTATTTAAGATATGTAAACATACCAATGAACGCTAGGGCATACTGCTTGAACGTCGAACCTTTATTATCTTCGTCATCTTCAACTACTCTAGTAATCGTAAACACCATGATGAAGAACAATGAAAATCAACACCAAAATACACCACTACTTCTAGTTTTCCTTACATAATACGACACAAGTACACTCGCTAGTACCATAAAAGAAATGACTTAAAGATACAATGACTAAGGTATATATTTGAATGGCTATAAACTTAGACCATCAGCAAATATTGACTCAGGAATTTAGTCCGTAAATTCATGAGTAATAGAGGCTAAGGAGAATGTTGAATGACGTTTAACAAAAAGAAACGAGATACGTAGACGTCAGACTAGAAGCCAATTGTCAGCTAGATTGAGTCAATAACAGAAGAACGCTCTTATCAATTGTAAAATGTTTTCAAGCCGCGTTTAGACTACTGGTAGGAAGCATCAATTATTATCTGCCAGTTGACTGGCACGTGACAACTTACATTTATAAGTGGGAAAAGAACTTTAAATACTTTCGTCATTGATGAGATTTCATCTGGGCATCTCAAGATTTGTATGAGATATCTACACTACTTTCATATTCGTTTGAGTAGTTGATAATTTTGTTGGCTTTGCCTGAAATCATAACAATCTTCTCATCCAAACTAGAATTAAGTACTGACTAGAATATTTAATTAATGAATTTCCTTATTATTCATCTTTTCTTATATGACTTGAATATATTTAATATCAAATTATGACACGCAAATCAGTGGTTTTTAATAGTTATGATAAAACCTAGAATTATCAAAATTTACCTACATAAAACATATTAAAACAGTCTTTCCAATTTCAAAAAAGAAAATAATCAGGAATTTAGGAAAAATGTTTAAAATCGGCAAAATTTAAAGACAAATCGATAGAAATTATATTCCAAATATTTTTTTTTACACGTCATTTGTATCAAAACAGTTGTGGTTTGATATTGAGAACCCAATTGATCGAATGTAAAGAGTGGTGTGAAAAGACTTTGTACTGTTAAAATAGTTTTTATAATATGTTACATATTGGTTTTCTTTACAGTTTAAATTTTTACCAACAGAGCTTTGTTTTATAGGAAAAACCTTGGTTTCGTAAAGAAAACGAATATTAAATAAACTTTTATTTGTTATCAATAAGACAAATATATAATTTGTTGATAAGAGCCCAAAATAATTAGTATTTGGACTACTTTAAATTTTATCCAGTCTAATGATTAGTTCTTGATTAAGAGTATATCTCATGTCATATATAAATTGAAAGTTAAATATTTGGCGAAGAAACTATTCCTTGCAAATAAAAACCTCTTAATTTTTTGTTCTACTGTGTTTTTAAAGTTTATATCTTTACATAAACCAGTAATTAAATAGTATAATAAAACCAGTAATTTAATTAGCATCGTTATCATGTTGATATAATGTACGTGAGAAGTGTCAAGTAAGTAATTTGGTGACGTGAAGTTTAGAGAAATTATGTTACCGACGCTCTCTGACTTCCTCTTGGATTTGCAGTCATATGTAAATAAATATATACGCGTATATTATTTTAAAATTTGTGTGTATGGATATAAATATATATGCTGGTATATACAGATAATTATAAAAAAGCCAATAAAATTCTATATGTGATTTTTGTATTAGTGTAGTTTGTTAGATCGAAACTCATGAAGTTCCCTGTAATATATTTTTGAAAGTCATGTATTGTATTCCATTGGTTTTATATTTCTATCCCTCTAGTTGTACTTTCATAATGATGATTTTCTTGGGAATGTAGTCGCAGTGGTTTCCCCTTGCCGTCTGCATGACTGCACCAGACTATTTGCAAGCAAAGAGAAATGGCGTATTCTCGTAAGGCAGCTAACATCTGTCCCAATAAATATCAATTGATGATCACGACCACTCTGATAAGAATGTTGCAACCAAGAAGAAGAATTTTTCTATCCATCGAATTCGATATACTTTTTTCTTTTAGTGTAAAAAAGTAAAACCTCTTAATATAAACGAAAAGACATGTTATTTGGGTCGTTTTAATGGGTCATTCCCTATAAACATTTATTTTCATCAAGTTTTCAGCGAGGGTATAATTTATGTTTAGTTTAATTTCTATGATAGTCTTTACTAAGTGTGCTGAATATATGGGATTATTTCTTCAGTGTAACAAAAATAACTGAAGTTACTTAATGAATTGAATATAATTATAATTAAGTACATTGTCTATATATTTTTCTTCTTCCTGGCAATTTCTCAGCTTTTAGCCAGGGTCTGCCTTACATGTTGTGAATAGTTTTGGCTAATTGTTTTTTACGACCGGCTGCCTGCCTGACATCAACGCTCTTTGGAAATGCATTAATTAGTGATGTCTAAATACTCTTAGAAAGTGCATATAACTCGGAAAAATCACATTGGTACTTGCCAGTAACGAACCCGCGCCCTCATACCTACATGAGAGGCGGGCCTTTTAACCACTAGGCCACCACTGACTTCTTGTATGTTTATTTTTAATTGTTCCTATATTCTTGTCACTGTAGGTATATGTGTAATAATTTTTAATTTCTGTCTCATTTATAATACAATCATGTGTTATTAAAAAGAATCAATATTTTCAATTTAATTTGGTAAATTCTATAATAAAGTACAATTTCATAGAAATAAACAAATTATTGTAGAACTATAAATCAAGACTTTACTTATATAGCACTCTTTGCATATGTTTAATGAATAGTAGGAAATCGCAAAAAGAAAGAAAATCTGTTAGATAAATTAACTAACAAATTCTATTTTTTAGCGATTGATAGTTTTTTCATACTTAATACCGTTTGATCTTTTTTTAAATTAATGAGATAATTAATGTGTTCTGAACATAAAGTTTTAACACTTGAGAGCATGAAGAAAACCCACAGTTTGTTTACCTTACATATTAGTTGTCAAATAAAAAGTTATTTTAAGTTTACTTTGATTCTCACTTCTGAAACCTGTAGCAATGTTACGATTCACGTTATATCGAGGTCGGCTCACATACGGATACATCTTCAATTTGCAAGAAGGATGTTGCTTATTAAAATAGTCGTGTTGGATTTCCATTTAAATTGTATTTAAACTGACGTATTATTTACATGACGGCTTCTGCAAGCATAGGTAGACTTAAGGAAATACGCTACACACTGATATATGAAATCTACGACAATTTTTTTTGAGGCACTACTTAAGAGTTTCACTAAACTTTCGTTCATGTTTTTGTAGCTTTAATACTTACAAACACAATAATTTTTTTATATCATATGCCGAATAATAGTATGTGTAGTCAGGATATACCACTGTATATTTTACTTTTTCAAAAGTTGATCACGAAAGAGAAAAACTAAGGTATTACATTCACCTACTATTATACAATATACTACATATAATTAAAGATTATGAAAAAAGCACAATGATAATTTGCAGTCGATGAAATTAAAATAAGGTTCAATGAGTGGATTAATGTTTACGAATAACAAATGCTGATTGTATTCATCTCATCTTTTTCACTCCATTTCAGTTTTCTCCATTTGATTTTTTTTTTACATATTACTCCATCAGTTCGATTAGATTTTTGATACCGTTGTTGTTGTATGGGCGTTCAGATGCAAAGAATGAAAATGCTACTTACGTCGCACTTTATTCATTTATATGGTTACTAAATATGATTTTTATTTATGTAAGTAGAGATTTGTTTCAAAAATTAGCAATTGAGTCATTAAATAAAATAATATAGGCCTTGTTTGGTTCTTGACGAAGAATACTATGGTAATGTAATCATACCTTATCCAAAAACGTAAGTTTTATTTCAATGAATTCCCGCGAAAGTCTTAGAAAGCGTAAGTTGCTTAATAAATTTTAAATTAAAAGTTTAGTTTAATTTCGTGCGTATCATTGAAGTATGTTATAATGAAGAACCTTCGAGAAATACAGGAGCATTAAGAATAATTGAAGTCTCATTTTAAAATATCATGGACCGTTCTAGAAGAAGTGTTATTTGTTATGTCAGCGAGGCTGGCGCCCCTCCCCCTAAAAAAAAAGCAAGATGCTAACGAAAATATGTGTATTTTTAAATTGTAAACCACATTTTATGGTGCTAGTAAGAATTCAGAAAACCTTTCCAGTACCAAGAATTCATAATATCAACACATTTACAAATAGACAATTCATAAGGCCTAAAATTAATGATAAAATAAAGTCCAAAATACAAATTGAATTATTTATAAAATACATAAAATAAGTTATTTATAAATATTTTTATAAGATAAATTTTATTCAGAACTTCAAACCGTAAAAAAATATTTTAAATTACATAATTCCAACTCTTTAAGACTATATTTGTTATAAAATGACATTTTTTTTTTCTTAAAACATGTTGTAGATTCAATTATTGAGATCAAGTTTGAATAATTGTTTGATTTTATACAAGAACAAAGTTGTTTTTTTATCGTTACTCTAAAATATACCTCTGTTTCTTAGTTACCGCAAAGATTTTTTGTAAGGAACAAAAATCATGGAAGATAAAATGACTATTCCACCATATAATATTTAAAATAACATCAGTATCAAGAATTTACCTACACAATAAGCATGTATATTGTATATACATATAAAAGTGTATACATATTTAATACCTATACGATTTCATGTTCATATTTCTCTATTACTAGTTGCCACGCGACCCTTTTTTTGTATTGTTTTGCCTTATAACGACTTTTTGGTAGTATCAAAATTAATTAAACTATTAAAAATTCCCTGAAGACCACTGTATTATATATATATTTTGGTAGAATCACAGCCTTATGACACCTTTTATCAAATCATCATATACTTGTTGGGTTACAGGAATATATGAACCCAATTTTTGGTCTAAAAAGTATACTGGGTCATTGTATAAATTTATATTAAACCCTTCATCCATTAAAGTTTTCTTTTTTAATTTGAATGTAGCTGTGAGAGGAGTTTCTGGTAAGATTCTGACAAATAAGGGCCTGGCGTAGGCCGGGAGTGAGGTATTAACGCCTTGAGCAAGTGATGTAACATCTAACTTTTTCTCCGGATCTGCGATTGCCACCATTCCCGCTTTACCCTCGACGTTTGGTATCTAAGGAATTAAAAAAATGCTTTAATTTCAACAAACATATACATATTTACTATCTTTTATTGAACTTATACTTACACTAACACCGTAAACTACTGCATCTTTTAGTCCTATTAAATTACTTATAACAGCTTCTACTTCTGCAGTTGAAACATTTTCACCCCGCCATCTGTTTGAAAACATTTATTGACATTTATAAAATTAGTCAAACTAAAATTAACATTAAACATATCAAAATTTGAAACTTTCCATTATAATAATAGCGTCCAACATACCACAGAGGAATATATCGCAATGCGACATGTACTTATAATAAAATCATAGAATCTACTATAACTATAAATCTCGGTTTAATGTACAAACAAATAATTTTTTTTAACAAATAAAATCATTTGTTTAAACTGACTTGTATGAGGATACAACTTAAAAAAATTTAATTCTCGTCTTTTATTTATTCTTCTTTACATAACTTTTCTAATAATTCCATTAAATGTATTTGAACTACAAGAGTCACAATCAGTCAAATTAAGCATTTTTATACATATGACTTAATATTTTTGAAGGCACGTTTATATTATTATGACCTATGTAAATCAAATAACATGAAGTTTTTTTTAAAACGATTGGGTACTTTTTGCTTATTTCAACCAGCATAATCTTAATCTTTATTTTGTGATCATTATTTAAGCTTTATTAATATAAACTCACCTAAATGTATCGCCAGTTCTGTCTTTAAAGTAAAAATAGCCATAATGATCCATGACAAGAATATCTCCCGTATTAAAGTAACAATCTCCTTCAACTCTAACATTTCTGACCATCTTTTTTTCTGACGCAGTTTTATCAGCGTATCCAGCGAACGTTAAAATAGCCTTCTTAGGATCGATTTTGCCCAACAATAATCCTGAAAAAAGAAAAACAGTTTGAATTGTCTCAATTTTTAATGATTCGTCGTCATCAGCCTATCAGAACCCACTGCTTTGCAAAAGCTTCTTCTCACATGGAGAAGATTTGATCATTAATCATCACGCTTGCTCAAGACGGGTTGTGATTTCAAACTTATAATTGTGAAATTATAAGTCCTGGTTTTCCCACGATATTTTGTTTCACCGTCTGTCAGTGGTGTTTAGATACCCTTACAAAGTACATATGGTAGAAAAATCACATTGGTACTTGCTAAGTTTCGCACCCGCGCCCTCAGGCACGAGAGTCCGTCAATCCTCTAGAGTCTAGGCCACCACTGACTTGTTTTAACGATTATTTGATAAAAATTGTTTTGTACCTGGCTCAAACGGTCCACAGTTGATACATCTCCCATTTTTGTCCCTTAAAATCTCACCAGTCAGTTCGTCGCATCTGTTATATTAATTTTATTTTTATAATATGTTCATTAAAACTTTACACATTAAATTGAATATTAAATTAACTTACTTAACCAAATTCAAGGGGTATATAGATGATACGAGACGACTTAAAAATCCAATGGCACCTATTTTGGAATCTAAGTTAACTGAAAAATAGAGAAAGCATATTATAAAAAAGCCAATGATCTTTTTGTTTTTAACATATAAAAGTATTAGAAATTTCTGTTTCCAGTAGTTAGTGGTTGAATGTACGATTAACTTTGAACTGGATTACAATATAAGTCAAAATTTTAAATATGTATTATAGTTGATTTACCTAAATATACACTAACAAGATTATTTTCTAATAATCGGGTTACTTTATGATAAAAGTATTAATTTAGGGATAACATACATAACAAAAGTTTTTGAAATTCCAACCATGTCAATAGGTTCAACACGAACACGAACTGGAATACGATCCCGGTCATTTATTTTTTTAAGTCAATATTTTACAGAGTTATTTGAACGTTTCTATTAATATTAAGAATCTAGGCTTTCAAGAGTCAAGAGATTAATTTTGGTCGACTAGAAAAGGAAACAGTATTGCTGTCCCCTTTGCTGTATAGATTCATATGATAGATACAACGACGTTAAGAACAAACATGCCGTTAGTCTAGAATATATATAAATAGAATAAAGCTTTAAGACTTTTTACAAATGTATGGTTACTGTGAATTAATTTGCAAGTTCTTAAGTAGCATATGACCTATAAACAAAGTTATATTTGAACTTACTTAAATTACTGTTGCCTTCAGTAGCACCATAAAATTCCAAGACCTGTTTGATAGCAAATCTGTCAATGAATTCCTGCCAAATTTGCGGTCTCAATCCGTTTCCAATCAAGACACGCACGCTGTGAGCACGGTCGTGTGGGCTCGGTGGTACTGACAGTAAGTAACGACAGATTTCACCGATGTATTGAGCAGCCTGGAATGTGATGAGGTTATCAATTAGTATGGATTTTGAATTGATACTTAATTATATTCTTTAAAATATCCTTATGCAGTTATATATGGATAACGTGATAGATTGATTCTAGCACTATCCTAATATTTATTTAGTTTATCTCAAACAAATACATACAGGGTGGGCCAAGAATTCGTTAACATTTGAATCTAAAACCCTACGCAAATAAATGCCGCGCGGGGCGCGGGGAGGGGTCTTGTCACTAGCTCGTTTCTCGGAAATTTTGTAGCAATGAATCGCTTCACGGGGCCGCAGCGCGCTTACTGTGTGAAACAATTTTAATTAAACAACAATTCGCTTATTACTGTGAGACGCTTATTTCGTGGTGAATATGATTTACACGACTTAAGTCAGTGTCCGAGTGGTCCTTTTATAAAGAAATGGGTGAAGAAGTTCGAAGAGACGGGATCTACACTAAATGTAAAGCAAACCGGCGGCCTACGGACTTCTCGGAGCGAAGAGAACGTACAGCAAGTTTCTGCTTCTGTTCGTCGTGATCCAGGTTTATCGACGCGCAAACGTTCGGCTGAATTAGGATTATCCCGCACATCGTAACGCCGTATTTTGAAGTTAGATTTGAAATTGCATCCGTATAAGATCCAATTAGTGCAGGAACTAAAACCTAATGATTTAAATTTACGCAAGTCCTATGCTGAAACTGCTAGATCGATTCAGTAATTTTGAGAACCTCTTATTTTCTGACGAAGCCCATTTTCATCTTAACGGACATGTAAACAAACAGAATTGCAGATATTGGAGCAGTGACAATCCTAAAGCTAAACACGAAAGGCCACTTCATTCTCCAAAGATAACTGTATGGGCTGCAATTTCAGCAAAAGGAATAATTGAACCTACTTTTTTGAAGATTCTCACGGCCGTTCAGTTACTGTTAATTCTACTCGGTATGTGAAAATGTTACGGGAGTTTTTGGCACCGATGCTACTGGAGTTTTCTGACTACAATCGTAACACATGGTTTCAACAAGATGGAGCCACTTGTCACACATCCAACGAATCCCTGCCGGTGGTTAAAGAAATGTTTCCGAAAAGGCTGATTTCCAGACGAGGTGACATTCCATGGCCACCCAGAAGTCCAGATCTATCCCAACTGACTTCTTTTTATGGGGTTATTTAAAGAGTCGTGTCTACATCGATAAACCAAATACACTACGTCAACTAAAAGAAAAAATCAGCGAAGAGATATCGACGATGTCACGGTCTCTGTGCGGACGAGTATTCGAAAATTTCGTTACTCGCTTAGAAGAGTGTAAAAATCGAAATGGTGGTCATTTAGATGATATGATTTTTTAAAAATAATTTCCAACTAATTAGCTTTCTTTTAATAAAGCAATTTTTAAATTTTTTCAAATAGTTTTTTTTTTAATGATTATTTCAAATGTTAACTAATTCATGGCCCACCCTGTATTTTGTATTTAAAATATTACTATACAACAACTTGTTCTCGTATGTGTATATTATTTTTTCTACTCAAGTAATAATGCTCTGTTCTACGCAATACTCTATGTCATGAAGAAATCTAAATATGTATGAAAAAGTTGTTACTACTGAATAAAAAGGAGATCAGTGGGTAGGTGTAAAATTGACAACACGTATAATTTTTGCTCCTCAGGTTTTTATATTTTAAAATTCAATAAATCGTTTATTAATGCAACAATAAGTGTCCTACTTACGTGGCTTTCACTAACTCTATAGAAACAATATCGCTATTCTTTAAAATTCACAAATGGATTTGCACACCCAACTCAGAAGGAACATGGAAGAAATTGTTCAGGTATTTCAGTCCAGAATGGATTCCTTTGATAAGGAACTTGCACAGTCTAAATCTTCAAGCCATTTCAAAGACCTCTCCAGTCTATCAGCGGAATACATCTCCTTCAAAACATTGGTTTGGAAAACATTATCCATGTTACAGCAGCAGCTACAACTCTTATCAGCTGGTTTTGATAAACACGAGGCTATTTCAAGAAACAATATTCTACTGTTTCACGGACTGAATGAAGCTCCTGACTCCGAGACACATTCCATCATTGAAACGGTATTATCGGACCGCATGAAGATGTCAGGACAGGTCCTTGAGAGTATTGATGTCTGTCACAGACTTGGTACGAGAAAGGACAAGCCTCGTCCTATTCTTGTTAAATTCTCAAGTACTAAAATAAAACACATTGTCTGGAACTCTAAAACCGTGCTTAAAGGTAGTGGTTGCACTGTGTCTGAATTCCTGACGAAACCAAGGCAGGAAGTTTTTCAAGCAGTACGGAAACATTTCGGCATTAAGAACTGCTGGACTTCTGACGGAAATGTAGTTGTCCTCTTGCCAGATAAAACAAGGAGAAAGATTGTCTCTCATGGTGAGCTGAAGGAATTAATCAAGAAGTTTCCTAACGGTTCATCACTTGTGGAGCACCATTCTAGACCTCGGCGTAATCAAAAAGTTAAGTGATAATGTTCCCGGCACTTTCTTTTCTCGTTAATACTGTGGATTGTGATATTTGTTTCAAGTGTTTATTTTGTTGACAATTATACTGTTATTTCTATGTGACACATGACAGTTTCATCTAGATATGTTCGGATATTTGTACTAAAATCTTTGTCATTGCCACAATGTACATGTTTATATTTTATTTGTTTTTTGTTTTGTTTTAAATTATGAAGCCATGTAAAGGATAACTTTATCTGAATTTATTTAAGGTAATTAGGTATTTGTTTTTATATTATTTTTTATATTTTCTTGATTTAATATTTTTTATATATTTATATTTATTTAATATCTTATGTGTGATAGTATATTGAATATTGATATTGATAATGATTTATTTTCTGATTGCTCCATAGATGATAGTATAAATAATGATAGCCTGTCTTCTTGTTCCGATCTACAAATTAATAATTTATTTCCCGATTCATTAAATTTCTTTAACATTGTACATATTAATGCACAGAGTATTCCGGCGCATTATTCTGATCTTCTGGCATCCTTTAGCAACACTCGTGTCGACTGCATTCTGGTCTCTGAGTCATGGCTGAAACCTTCTCTCCCCTCCTCTCTTTACAATATTCCTAATTTTACCCTTTTACGTAATGACAGAACCTTTAAAAGAGGTGGAGGAATTTGTATCTACCTTCGAAACAACTTGTCTTTTCGTAGTATTTCTCAGTCTCCACAATGTGTTTCCGAACCCATTTTGGAGTACCTTTTTGTCGAAGTCGATGTCCACAATACCAAGCTCTTGATCGGTGTTCTATATAGCCCCTCTTCACACGTTAATTACTTTCCTTCTTTAGATTCCCTTCTTGATAAATTTTCTCCTTCTTATGATCACCTAATACTAATGGGAGACCTGAACACCTGTCTTATCAAAAATGACTACAGAGCCGAAAGATTGAAATCTTTAATTTCATCTTTTAACCTTTCTGTCCTTCCCTTATCTGCAACTCACTATCCTCCAAACGCTGGATCTTCTCTTCTCGATCTTATAATTGTATCTCAACCTGAATATGCTCGCTCTTATGGCCAAGTATCATCGCCTTTTTCTTACCATGACCTCATTTTCCTTAATTATAGTATTTCTACCGTAAGACGTAAACGCCGTACAATTTTTCGCCGTAGCTTAAAAAGCGTTAATACTGATGTCCTTTTGTCTGACGCACTGTGTATAGATTGGTCGCCTCTTTACAATTCTGCGAATATTGAAGACAAAGTGAACTGTTTTAATTCTGAAATTTACAATCTTTATGACATCCATGCTCCGATGAAACGTATACGAGTCAGGCATTATCCCGCACCTTGGCTAACTCCAACAATTAAATCCTTTATGGCCAAGCGGGATAAAGCTAAACGTAAATTCAGAAAGGATCAGTCGCTTGATAACCATGCTGCCTACAAAAAGCTGCGTAATCTCTGTAATAGAATGTGTAGGGATGCAAAGCGCCGCTATATCTTTTCCTCTATTTGTAATACTTCAAGCTCACAAATGTGGAGCTTCCTAAACTCATTGGGTGTGGGTAAGTGTTCCAAGTGGAAATCTTTCCAAAATATTAATTTAAATGAATTAAATAATCATTTCTCCAATCCTCCGGTGTCTGTGCCTTCATCTCGTAAGAATTTAACTTTAATGAAACTTGCTTCCGCATCCCCACCTAATGGTAACTCTTTTGCATTTCCCTTGATAACGGTAGATGATGTCGAGAAATCTCTTTCTTCCAAAGCAGTGGGTTATGATGAAATCAGTGTTGACATGATCTTACCAATACTCAGCGTTGTGTCACCTGTATTAACTCATATTTTTAATTTTTCTTTGGTTTCTGGAACATTTCCTACTGCTTGGAAGTCGGCTCACATTATTCCGCTTCCTAAACTAACTAACCCTACTTTACCGTCTCACTTTAGACCTATCTCTATTCTCCCTATCCTTTCAAAAGCTTTTGAACTCATTATCCATAAACATCTTTCTGACTACCTGCACCACAATAACCTCCTTAGCCCATTTCAATCTGGTTTCCGATCCCACCATAGTACCAGTTCTGCTTTACTGAAAGTAACAGAGGATGTCCGAAAAGCTATGGACAACAGAGAACTAACCATTTTAGTTCTCCTAGACTTCAGTAACGCTTTTAACTCAGTTGACTTCGACATTTTATTGGGAATCCTCTCTTCCCTCTCGATATCACCAGCTGTTTTTAAATGGTTTCAATCTTACCTCGTCGGTCGTCGGCAGATGGTGAAATCTGATGAGAGCTGCTCTGATTGGAATGTCACATATGCCGGGGTGCCACAAGGCGGCGTCCTCTCTCCTTTACTCTTCTCTATATTCATAGATAATATTTCCAAAAACATTTCTTCTCCCTATCATCTCTATGCAGATGATTTGCAGCTTTATAGACATACTCCACTATCTACACTTGTGGTAGCTATCGAGGCTGTTAATGAGGAGTTGATATCTATACACAGATGGGCAAATGACTTCGGTTTGCTAGTGAACCCTAATAAATCTCAGGCGATAATTATTGGAAGCAAGCAACTCTACAAAAAAATTAATTTTGACACTTTACCCTGTATAATGTACGATGGGGTGACAATTCCATTGTTAGATCGGGTTAAAAACTTAGGTCTATTAATGGATTGTCACCTGTCGTGGACAGTTCAGGTGAATGAGGTAAGTAGAAGAATTCACTCTACTCTTCATTCTCTTAAACGTCTGCAAAACTTCCTTCCTTTTAAAACTAAAATTATTCTAGCACAATCTCTCCTTCTTTCCTTACTCGACTACGGTGATGTTTGCTACTTAGATGCCACTGATGAGCTGCTCGATAAACTGGATAGACTTCAAAATTTGTGCATCCGATTTATTTTCGGCTTGCGTAAATACGACCACATCTCTGAATTCCGCAGCAAATTAAAGTGGCTCCCTATCCGCTTCCGCCGGAATATGCATGTTTTAACGTTAATGTACAATGTGTTCAAACATTCTTCTCCCCCGTACCTACTCGAACGTTTTAAATTTTCCTCCCCCAGAATCCTTCCTAATCGCTCCTGTGTTGCACAAAATCCTCTTGATATCCCCTCCTTTAATACTAAATTCTATCGTAAATCCTTCTCCGTCCAAGGTGCAAAACTTTGGAACTCACTCCCACCTTCTATTTACAAAGAGAGTCCAAGTGCATTTGCCTTTAAATATCGGCTTAAGAGACATCTTCTATCACTCTTACCTTAATATAATATGTAATGTTTATGTACTTATATATATATATTTATGTATATGTTGTATATTTATATATATATATATATATATATATATATATATATATATATATATATATATATATATATTGTATTTATTTGTATATATTTATGTATATATCTATGTATGTATAATATCTGTATTTTATACTATTATAATTTGATTTGTATTCTTATATATATATCTATATACCTCTTTTTTCTTTTTTCCTTCTCTCATTTTATTGTACCTATTCCACATTTCTCTTCTCATTTCCTCTATCAAAAGGGTTTCTGGCAGAGATCTCTTTTAAGAGATAAGTTATCCTTTGTACATGACATTTCTTTTATAATATTCGAATTGTAACTATTTTTTATGTTTGGTACATTAATAAATAATAATAATAATGATGTTAATTATAACATTATACAGACAAGATGCAACATGTATCCTCACCGTACAGCCATGCTTTGCAGCATCTATCCAATAGTTACTGGCGGAGAACTTCTTCCTTAGTACCACAGTACAACCCAGGATAAGGCACTGTCCCGCACCTAGCACTCCACCAGCTGTATGATGCAAGGGTAAAGGATCGTAGACTACGTCGGAAGATGTTAGTCGACCAGATGTATGAACGCCTAGCGGTATGAGAAGATATCTGAAAGTATGTTATAAATAATGAGATCTGGGACTTTCGCGAGTAATCATTTAAATGAAAGTAATATTTTCGGTTTATGACTCCTATTTTACTATTAATAAAAACTACATACTCCCAACGTTTCGCTTACTTTGCAGCGACCGTGATCACGGGCAGACGAGATGCGAATGTCATTCAACCGTGATAACGGTTGCTGCAATGTAACCGGAACGTCGAGAACATGAGGTCTTTAAAAACAATTACATACGCTTACTAATCCATTTCCATTCCATTTCTAATATTTACAATCATTTCATATGGTCAAATTATAGTAGAATTTATACAAATAAATTTTGACCAAAATTATTAAGAGTAGATATTTCATGATTAGGCTTTGAATTAAAATGCTGTACCTTATATTAGTAATAATTGCGGCTTTCGGAAAACCTGTTGTTCCACTTGTGTAAATATATAACAAAGTGTCTCTTGGTTTTGCTGGTTCTATATCAGTAAATGAATCAGAAGACATCTCGTTTAACTCAGCGTTCAAAAACGTTGCATCGTTCACTATTGGCGCTGTTGGTCGTTCAACTGCATTGAATTGGTAAAGGGGGATATCTGGTATTTGACTTTGAATCGCTTTGATCGCTGAAAAAAGCAGAATAGACTTAAATTAATAATATAATTTGACAAAATAGTGCATACGAGTTCTTATAATATTATTCGGAGACAATAAAACTTTAACTACTTTGTGAAATATTTTAAGATTTTGAGTTCAGATAGATTAAAATTATTTTTTGCTTATTGGAGTAATATGTACGTAAATAACGTATTTTTAAAATGACACTTACCGTCAATCATTTCATCCCCAAATATAACTGCCTTACATTTCGCAATTTTTAAACAATGTATCAATTGATCCCCGCGTAGATTTGTATTCACTAGAGCTGTGGTTATCCTAAGTTTGGCCAATCCTAGCCACAGAAACACATACTCAGGTTGCGTTTCCATGAACAACGCTACAACTTCTCCCGTTTTAAAACCTTGCCGTTTGAAATACCAAGCCATACGATTACTCAATTGATCGCCCTGAAACAAAATCGGTTATTTTAATAAGAGATCTTTCTTGTCTTTTAATTAAATGTGTTGTGTTTTTTAATAACTCATTTATTTCTTAATTTATAAAAATAAGTGAAATTGTTTACAAACATATTTCCAATATTTGTAAGACATAAAGAGAAAATATTATTTAGGATTTCAGTCACAAGTCAGTTAACCGATCACAATAAACTAATTTACCTCGTGATAATCTTATATAATGAAATAGAACCAATATTTTCGGATTTACTACTCAATTTTATATATTTTTTTAACTACATACTATCACGTTTGCTGCAAAGTACCCGAAATATCTGAGTATGCAGTTTTAAAATAATAAAAATCTCGAAGTGATACAAAAATATTCGTTTTATTTCAATGAATACTTGCTAAAATCTTAGACCTCATTATCTTTTATACAAAGTAAACAACTTTATAATAAATAATTCACCTCTCGAAAAGTCAAAGATCGGTTTCCCATAACGAATGCTTTCTTGTCAGGGTTTTTTTGTGAAATCTTATTCCATCTGCTGACCACAGTAACACCTCTTCGTTCCCACAACCATATTGTGAACATCGTTACTAGAAGTACGCGGAGACCACTGCAATAGTAAGAAATACAGAAAATTATTTTTTGACCATTTTATTTACATATTATTTTAATCAAACTGCCAATATGGAAAAGACCAAAGATTAAGTGAATTTTACTATTATACTATATATTAAAATAAGATAATTATGTTTTACTAATGACGAGCAGGGACATTAAACTAATATTTCATTCAAGGTGAGATAGCTTGTAGAATTTTTAATAATCTTAACTCAAATCTGTTCAAAACGTGACTCAATCATTTAACCTTGGAAAATATCCTTTTTACTGCAGTGTAATAAAAATAAAAGATAGCAAATTGCGAATGACTTATTAGGATTTTAATGATAAATGATCTAGGAAAATTAACTATGAAATTAATTTGTACAATTTTCAATATATTTTGTTTTATATTTGGTTCCTCATAATATGTATGAATAAATCATTGATGTTTGTGTCAACTTGCAAGCAATAAATGGTATCGATATGCAATATCTATAAAATTCCTTTTATTTTTTAATCAAGCCCTTATAATAGTGATTCAAGTTCGACACTCGTCAATAATCAATCAGGTGCAATCCAAATGCATAGGATAAAATTATTGTTTGGATCGTTTGTTTATGGTGCATTCATAACTATGCCTAAATGTTAGTAGAGGCTTATTTTCATTGACGTTAAGTAAATTTCTACCTTCCGGCTCTAAGAGGATCAGATAACTCTGATTTGATAGTAAACATGTGTATCCCCTTAACAAATTACCAGGCGATCATAAGAGGCCAAGGTCCAACCGGACACCTCGTTCAATAGAGTAATCATCGACGTCCGTCGACGCGGTGGAAAAATTTAGAATTTCTTTACGATACCTTCATGATGGTCAAATCAATGTTAAATAGATATTTAAAATAAAAATACTACATATTAAATTTTTTGGCTATACAGAATTTACAAGACGAAAATTTAAATATAATAAAACAATATGTATTGTTAGTATCTTCGAATAAATAAATAAATGTTCACCTTGCAAACTAAAAATATTTAAGAAAAAAAATTGCTATACTAATTTTCAAAGCTTATACAGAATAAAATACAATGTACTAGGAATGCAGAGATAACCAAGAGGGATTAAATTTCTTATTGGATGATTGGTGTATCCTACAATGCGTATTAAATAAAATATTTCAGTTACCTCAACAATGGTAACGCAAATAATATTTATTTATTATATCGAAATGTAACAGTATTTTGGGAAGAGAAACACGTTCATATCTGTTAGTATAGATATCAATGAGTCAAGTAAATGACCTCTCTAGTAACACATTCTAAGTCTTTATTTATATATAATGTTTTTCGTCTCTGGTGATAAGAAAAACTTTAAAAAGATATGTCTGTATATGTAAGAACAATGGAGGACTATGCCCCACAATGTACTGATGTATAATGGTTAAGTGGCTGTTACACAACACCTTCCAACCTTTGTCCTCTTTGTGGTTATGTTATACTTCATAGCATCTTTTTAACATGAGATATTAATTAGTTTAACATTGTCACTATTACAAAATGTATTCTTTTTTATCTGATTACATGTTTTACAAGGTTCAATAATAGTTGTAAGTATAGCGATGAATACAAATGTAGAATTGTCCTTCGTTGAGACGTGCTAATTAGAAACATTCAGAATTTTTTATTAGATATTTCTAATACATTCAACTCACGTATAATGGAATAACGACCTTTTTATACCTAACTTTATCAATGAACGGTAACTTGATAACCAAATATTATTAAAGATATCATGATGTATAGGTTTATTTTCACCGTAACTAAAACTCTTAGGTACCTACCTATATTAAATACAACTAATGTTTACATATTTATAGATTTGATTCAGATTACGTGATGTTATTATCAGGATAACTTTTTAGAGATAATTTATAAACATTCTCTCTTTTTCTCACATAAATTAAAAATAGTTAAATGACTATCAAAACAAAAAATTACATATAGACCATAAACGAATAATTAAAAATTTTATCATTCACCATCTTTTTAACTTTAATACGCTGTAGGTACTCGAATTCATTATAATAAAAATTAACAAAGTTATATCATGTTTTTACTTACAGCATATCCCTGTAGAATGTTTTCTTCCAAATGTACAGCCATTGATATCTGTTTCCAGTTATAAGGTATATATTCAAAACACATATTAATCCCACTAGGATCGTATAATTCCGTACAATATATCCAACTATGAAACATATTATTGCTGTGATTGTTATAATAACTATTCTTTTTCTTTCTGCTTCTTCAAAACGAGCTGCTTCTTTTTCTGACATTTTTATGTTGATTTCATATTTTGTTAATCTGCAAATAAATAATGTTTATTTTATGAAAAAATCAAAGCATAGTTCCGTATTATATTTTTCTAATTAGTTTTAATAAAACATAAAATAGATAACAGCTTAATACATAATGTTATCTTACAATGAAGATACTTTTAAGAAAATATATAACATTTTATATAGTAATGTATTATTTTGAACTTGGCCCAGATATATGTATTTTTAAAATGTTTTCCTAAAACTTTGTTACTTGAATACCAATAAGACAAGTAAGTTTTTATTCACCTACAGAATGTAAATATATGTACGTATCTTGTTAAATAACTTTTCTATTTTAATTATTTTAATTTTATAACATGTATTGTATAAAATGTATTGCTGAAGTAAAAGATGACATTTAATAAACGCACATTTTATAGCAGACAAATTTATTAAATCATTTTGTTATAATATTTTTTTTTCGTCACTTTTACCATATGAATAATTTTATTTCTTTCATTATTCTGTCTTAACTCTGATGATTGTAAAATGAAAAATGTCTAATATTTATAAATAAAAGGCTTAGTCAACGACCCCCTGTCATAAGTAAAATCTATACAGCTATGGAATATCTGTCCTAAAATATTCAATTAGATTGTACAGCAACTTAAATATTTCAACATAAGACATAAAGAAATAAAATATATATACATTTATAATTTATTTGTCACTAAACTTATTGTTTTAATGCTTAGTTTATTGGCAAGTTATAAATATAAATATTACAAATAAAATTAAAAAAAACTTATTACAAATATATACAAAGTTGATGGTATAAACAGTGATCATTTAGAGATTGATAACAATGAAAACAATGAATTTTTATCTCATTCTGATACGGAAAGATTGTATATATATCATTGTAATATGAATGTAAACAAAAGAAACACTTGATATTAATATTTATTAAGAATACAAATATTTACCTTCGTAATCAAGGAGAACCACAGATTAAATATAACACTTCGCCGGTTGAATAATAACTGAGTAGCGAGCTGTAGGCCAGTTACCGGTCATTGCGTGAAGGCAGTGATGTCAGTGTAAAGTATCGATAGATTGTATTTATTATATGTATTTATTACAGGTAAATATTTTTCATTTTAACTTTATTTTGCTCATATTATTGAGAATTTCATACTACAGAAAAATACTTTTTTTGTGGACAATTTTTTTTCACTCTCATTCAATTGTCGGTTGGCCAAAAAAAATAACTAAGCTTATAATTTAATTTATTTTTTTATTATAAAATATTTTTTTAAAAAGTAAATGTACATCACTACGACGTTTATCAACGAACTTCTCCCATTCCAGTTATCGGCGCCGGCAAATGAAACACAATAACACTAATGTCAACCTTATCTGTTTGCGTGAAAGTCTAAAATAGCATATACGCTGCTAAGCAATTAAGTGATTTGAACGAAGATTGTTGGAAATTATGCTCTAAAGTAACTGCGTAAAGCTCAATTTCAAACGAGTATCTTAACAAAGAATAGAATTAAGACACTAATGCATGCAAATATCAAATTAGACTTTAATTGAGTAGGATTACATATTTTGTCGTTTTATGTGTGTTTATAACATATTTTATTAAATAATCTAGAAAATAATTCCACAAATTATATACATTTTCGATGTGGTATTATCACATAGAACTAACATCTTTCTCCTTATTTAATCACTTTGTTACAAATCACAATAATTTCATTGAATATAATACATTAAGTACAACAATACTCTTTACAGCTACTAATCTGATCAACTGTATAATCTTAAGTAAATCTGACTTTTTCGACTTCTTTGACAGCGTAACCGTGATGTTGACGATGGCATCTTCCAATTAAATAAGGTTCTAAGGGACAAAAAGTGATCGCCCAACGTGGGGCTCGAACCCACGACCCTGAGATTAAGAGTCTCATGCTCTACCGACTGAGCTAGCCGGGCTGTGAAGTATGACTGATTTTTTAGCCTCTTAAATTCCCAGCTGAGAACAAACGCACTTTGTAGATTATCAGGCGATAGGTGTAAAAATATTATCATATAAATTTATATATTGGAATTATTAACTATGGTCATTTGATTTATACTATAAAACTATAACTTAAGATTTTTTTACCGCTTAAGATAACTGGAAAGAAGTATATGTATGACATGCTACCCGAGATATAAATGTTGTTCTTAAATTGTCTTGGATAAAATACATGAAACTTTATTAGCTAATTAGCAAATGAATTAATTAATTATATTATTGTCAGCCACTTTATGTCTTATTTTTATTAACAATTTATGTATTATACTATTATTTTTAATTGAGTCATTTTTACTTTAATAAATGAAATAAATAGTAAATAATAATAAAAAAAGTTCGGTGATTAACGCATGATTAAAAATCAAATACCACACAAGCATTCAAGTCAATCATGAGCATTAGTATTATTTGTGAAATGTAAATTTTAACCAATGTAAGCTGATTATAAGAAATAAATGGCAAATAAAGCTGTATATTGTTGTAATAGAAATTAAATCATATATTTTTAATAAAAGCTTAAAAAAATATGAAATTAATCTAATAAAACAACAAAAAGTAAAAGTCCCAAATGTTAATCAATCAAGTTAAATTGATGTTGTAGATTATGTTCACAAAAGAAAATCAATATGTTGATTAAAAATTGATTTAAAAATAGATGAACAATAGAATTTTAATGGGCTATATTCATGTAAAATATTGATATGGGAGTCAATAATAATTAATGTTAACATCCTGAAATATCTCTTCGGACCTGGACTGTATACTTTTTTCCTTCTACCTGGCAATTTCCCAGCTTTAGCCAAAGTCTGCCTTACATGTTGTGAAAAGTTTTGGCAATTTTTTTTTACGACCGGCCGCCTGCCTGCCATCAACCCTCTTTGGGAATGCGTTAATCAGTGACGTCTAAATACTCTTACAAAGTACATATGACTCAGAAAAATCACATTGGTACTTGCCCGGGCCAGGATTGAACCCGCGCTCTCTTGCATGAGAGGCGGGCCTTTTAGCCACTAGGCCACAACTGACTAACTCGGACCTGGACTGTATAAATGAATAAAAACTACTTGAGAGAAAGGTCATCAAGTTATGACAAATAGTTTAATGGATATCCTCACATAAATATGTACAAGAATACCATAGAATGGATCACATTACTGGTACCGTCAGTAAAAAACTCAAAAAAGTTTAATTTAAATTACTAATCCTAATAATATGACAGTACGACACCACTTAACCCTCTTAAAAAACTTATTTGTGATGGTACGTCTAATTGTTGAGAAGAAATAGAAAGTTATTAATAACAATCAAAATAGAAGCCTTAATAATTTTGTCTGACAATTATCGTTTTGCAAATATAACGATAACTATATTAAAATGAAATAAGCTAAAATGCTACTATGTTTATATAAAAAAAAACTTGCTATCATCAAGACACGAAAAGGCTCAAAATATGATGAAATTTTCATAAGGACGCTTTGTTACCACTTTAAAAGTTTAATTAAACGAAATTAATTCAAACGGCAGAAATTTACTAACAAAAAAATACAATTACAAAATATGTTCTACCCTCCTTGATGACTAATAATGCAACAGATTCAAATGGAAAACAAAAAAATAATTTTGTTATACTAACTTACGATAAATTGTTGCTGAACACCATTTATGGTATTTAGCTGATATTTGACTTTGGTGTTTTCTATTAATAACTACTTTAATAAACAAACAGAAAAATTTATTGGACTAAAAATTACAATGCATCCCAAATTTATTATGTAACAAGTAAGATATCTTGAATGGCGTCTACAGTCAGCCCTTTAGTTTCAGGTAAATAAAGCTTACAAAATATTGCTGATACTAAACTCATGAATGCAAAAACATAAAAAACTGGTCCCAAACCAGCTACTGCTATAAAAGGATTGAATATAAAAAGTATTAAAAAGTTGCAAAGCCATCCCCATTCGATTACTAACATTGTGATTATCCCTCGGACCTGCAAAAATGGATGAAATATAATTTTTAAAAAATGTCTGCGGTTTATATACGGAAAAGTTTTTGAGATTTAGATATACTCATATTATTAAAGAAAATAAAGAATGGGAAATATATTATAAGAACATATCGTAATAGAATAATAATTTCATGTAACGTAAAAAAAATGTTTAAGACGTATTCTTTTTTCGGCAAGAATCAGTTAAATATTAATTATAAATTCATTTAATATTTAAATAGGTTCTCATTGAATAAACTGCAAGTTCTAGATTTGTCTACTAAATTACAATAATATATCGGCGAAAAAGATGTCTGTTAAGAGGTAAGTAATAAGATTAATAAATAAATATGACAAAAGATCAAAGAAAAACCTTACTTCTGGTAGGAACATCTCCGGTATCATGACGTAGGGTACAGTCCCAGCTCCACAAGTTGCTGTTATACAGAAAGCGTACACAAAAAGACCCTTCAACCAAGCTGGGCCCCAATGGAATTGAATTTGAGTACCAAGAGCTATACAGAAAAAACAGGTACCCAGAGATGGGTAGATCATAACAGGCTAAAAGAAAGTAGTCTCGTAATTCAAGCTGTTCTAACGCTTTGTGGTCTTATTGATTACAGGCGAAATTAATATATTTTTAATCAACAAATCGTAAAACTCAATCAACATACCCGTCTTCCAAATAAGTCAAGTAAATAAGCAGCTACGAATCCTGAAATAGTATTCAACAGAGCAAATAGAATGCTGGTCAAATTCGCTGACATATTCGGTAGTGCCTCTTTAAATAACGGCTCAGAATATACTTGAACTACGATAAGCCCTTGAAATATGGATAGTGAAAATAGAATAAGAACAATTACTAAACCACGGCGAGTTGATTTAGATTTTTCTGGAAAATAATAAAGACAGATTATATTAAAATATTTTAATATTAATAATTTTTAAACGTGTATTTTGGTTCTCTGTGTAATACTTACTGAAAAATTGTAACCATAGAGGCTTTTTATGTTTGCTATTTCCTGATTTTAGCATTTGCTCTTCCGCTGGCTCACCTAATGGTAATTTTGTCTTAATAAGGCTGTGTGTAAAAATATATTTTCTAATTTTAATGTATTGTATCAAAAACATATAATTTGTCAGGGTAAAGTAATTAAAACAAATGATTATATGGTTAATAGTAGATTGCTTCTGTTTATCATAACTTTCCTTGTGTACAAGCTGTCCAGTCCTATTTTGAGTTCATCAATTCTTTGATTTGTTCATTTCTTTGTTTTTAATTAAAAAAAAAATACGGATAAGTTATGAGTAAGATCAGTTTTATGTCATACAAAATACTTATCATGTGATAAGCTGTATAATTTTCCTTTTTAAACAGTTATATTCCATTATTTGTGTCTTCTATCACGTATTTGTGATTATTTTTCCTAAATAGATCTCTCAGTCGCAAGTGACAGAGAAAAAATTCAATGACTTATAAAAAATCTTGATTATAATAACTTTTTATTGCTAGGAAAATAATTTTGTCTCTTGACTAGTCGTCATTTGATAAGATATAATCTTATTATAACCATGAACAGTTTCAACGTTCGTAGAATGAGAGAAATAAATGATGTTATATCATTTATGCTACTTGCGTTTCAATACATATATATTTTGTTATTAAATGTTGTATTCATTTTTAACTTAATTTCAAAAGTATGTGTTTCCATGGAGGATGTTTGCTTTAGCAAAGATAGTAAGGTATATAAGGAGTAAATTTGTAAAAACATAAATAAAATACCCTTACGGTTCATTTGTACATTAAGTGTTCGTCTTATAGATTCCATTTCTTGCTGCACTATTAAAGATCCTCGTTTCGATGATCTATAGAAGGCTATAGATTTAGCTGCTTTCTACAAAATATAATAGTATAACTGTATCAACTGTTAATGTGTAGCTTATTCGTATACATCCATTAATCCAAATATTAACATAAAAAAACTGATTTTTGTAAATACAGACTTCATATAACATAAACTATGATTTAAATTAATTGAAATTATTGTGAAATGCAATGGATATTTCGAATAAAAGAGGTTATTCGAGTCTAAAACTACTTCATCTATAAAATGTATTTTTATGACTACCCACTCATTGATTTACCTTTTCCAGATCCTTAGACATTAAATATACGGGCGACTCCTCCACTAGGCTCATCATAATCAAAGACAAAACTGATATTGTTAGGCAAACATAATTCATCATTTCATAATTTAGACACCCTCCAAGAATATATGACACCATGAGACCTATACCATAGAATATAATTCCAAAAGAAGTGAGCGTCCCTCTAATAGATTCATGAGAAAATTCGCTGATAAAGTTTGGCGTGATAAGGAGCAAGCATCCACTTAATCCACCAACACAAACCGACGCCAGGATGGCTTCTACCCGAGATACTAGTGACACGATGGTCCATGCTATCTGAAAAAATATAAACAATTTGGTTTAACTATTGAATACGTAGCTATAATATTGTTTTTGAATTACGGCTTGCAACCCATTACATATTTGAAAATATAAACTCAGGAAAAAGTGAGTAACTGCCCCAAAAATTGTTATATTTACTTTTCTTATTTAAGCTAATAGTATTTGTAACGTCTACTAAGCTAATAGTACTTGTAAATCTATATAAAACTATACCACTGATGGCAACCCAAATAAAATACAGCAATTTTTTCTTCCTATGACATCCAATAGTACACCAGACAACGGTGTGCTGAATAGTGCTGTGAATGATGGTAAGCTGCCAAATAAGGATATCTCAATTTCAGTCATGGGTCGATTTAGAGTTGTGTTAGTGGAAGAAAATAATTTAAGTGTCGACGAAGGCCATGCGAACAAAATTCCTATATTGAGGCACAGACAACTCACTGTAATATAAAGATATACATTTAAAAAAATCATATTTAATATCAGTGATGACTAAAACGCTAAATAATTTTAACGAAATTAGCGTAAAATTTATATCAGTAGCAAAATATTCTATTTATTACGTATACTTTTGCAAAGATTTTTAATAGCAAGTAAAATAGCTAAAACTTCTTTCTTTATTTGTTATAAATACAACTTACCTATGAAAGCAGAATATATTTGCCGGATATAACACATTTCCCTTTTAAGATGAGGATCGTCTCGTGACTAAATCGACACTAGAGCATGCGGCACACACACATGTAGATGTTATCATTTATTGTATTTACAGATTTCAAATAACATTATTCTTTGAAATTAAAACTGTTTAAGCTGAATTTAAGATATATTATTTTTGAAAAATAAAAACGCTTCCTCATATTTTATTTTACAAACGATAAGATTGATTAGTAACTGAAAAGTATATCACATTAAAATATAAAAATATTTCATGGCTCTTTATCTTTCGTAGCATAATTATGTATAATACAATTAAATCAGTTTTTATAAACGTCGTAATAAAAAAAGTTTATTACTGTTATTTTACATTATGAGGAATTTGTAAATATAAGTATTTTATGTTTTTAATAAATAAATTATTGTCATTTAGATATCTTCGTTGTTTTCCCATAAATATCATTTGCATTTATTCATTATTCAAATCATAATTCTGGTCTGAAAATGGAGGAAATCGGTTTAGGAAATATTATCTTGGGAGTCGTTATGTTTTCGTGACGTATTTTTAAATAGCAATATTTTTACAATAAAAAGAACTTAAGTACAGTTAGAATGTCTTTAAAATACTTATACAGGGTGTTAAGTGGAAATAATGGCTTACATCATTTACTGGTACGCAATATAAATTATAAAATATTTCAAACTAGTCATTAATAGTTTTTAATTTCAATAGCTTTTATTATTAAAGTTAATTTTTATTTAAAAATTTTTGTAAAGTAAATAAAATTCTTAGAGAAAACATATAAGAAATACATAGATAATCAAAAAGATTTTAAATGGAGACCCAGAAACAATTATTGGAACTTATTTTATCTTCAAGTATTTACCTTCCAATAGGAAAATATAGTTTAAGATTTTATTTAAACAACATTAATTGCCGTTGACAGCAAAACTACTATTATATAATATAGAAATACTTGTAGTATATTTGCATGACGAATTTGATTTCCCTGTCACTTTTAACGAACTTTGAGACCATACAATTTCTAAAATAATAATAAGTTATACATATAAATGCATGTTATCGCAACCTAAAAGAGAGTGAATAAGAACAAGAAAACCGCACATCATTCGGATGAGGTTGCGAGTGAAAGTTAGTCTTAAAGAAATTGTTCGAACCATATTTTTATTTTGTTTCATTTAATTAATAATAAATTCATGATTTCTTTTATTAATAGCAAACTATTTATTTTTGATATTTTAATGTTATAATTCATTAAAACATTTGCTCTAAAAATTATCATTTTACATATTTATCATTACAAATGTTTTCTGTTTTTTTTTCTTTTACATATTGATATACAAATTGGATAGAACTTCAATATTATTTATACATAGTAAACGAGTTAGCCTAGTAGATGTACTGAATAGACTGAATCGTTTAATATTTTTTCTCCATTTATCTTATCGAAAATTGTTACGATGAAGGCACTCTGGGTTTATCGAGAGTTGGTAGTTCAGCCTTTTGTGGGTGATAGTCCACTTAATAGGCCCCCGTTGTGTGACTGTGGGAGGCTAACGGAGCACATGACTCTAAATGCCTGATACCTCACAAATTTTGTATTGAGATCAATCCAACAGATGGCTTCACTCGAGAAACCGTTCGCATCGGTTAACGCCATGACTGTGACTGCCTTTGTAGAAATTTACGATAGCAATAATATTTATAAGATTATTATTTTTTCAGACAATCGTCTTTGTAAATATCCAGTGGCGGCTGTACCTTAAGTGCGCCCGTGCGCTGAACTACCAATTCAAAATATTTAAAAATTACAAAATATTATGTCATCTTAATTTTTAAATTACCATCTTAATATTCATTTTTTAAACATACAAAAAGGTATAAAAAATTTAATTTCCAATTATGGTCAAAAAGTTTGAGCGCTTTACTAAACTCATATCGTGCGCTCCGGCGAGTGCACGAGGACTGCTAATACATCTTGTATGAGACACGCATCAATACGCCTGGCGCGTGAGACAAAAGATAGTTCATAGAAATGTACCGAGTAACGAGTCGGTTCTCGCGCGCCGCACGAAGCGGCCGAAGGTTACCGAGAGCACCCGATGTATGACGTATTGAGCCGGCCGGCAAGGGGCCGGCCGAAAGGATGGGTGCTATGATTGACATTTCGTTAATCGTTATTGGTATTGTTTCAACTTTCACTGTATGCGTGACGCGTTAATTCGTTATTGTTTATAATTATTTCCGTAATTCGTTTTAGTTTTTATTTCGTTTCTATAATAGAACTTTTATTCTGTACTGTGTTTTTTATTAGTTGAAAATGAGTATAAATATTGATTATATTAAAGAAAATAACAAAATTTTTCAAAGTAAAGTGAACATAAAATTGGCCGGGCCGTCACGGCCCTTTTTAAATTTAAAACAAGAGTGTAAATCGAAAAATAAAGCATTTATACGAAGTTTTAAAAGTGAAATGTATAATAGAAAGAAATGGTTGTGTGGATGTGAGCGTCTTAATGCATTCTTTTGTTTTCCTTGCATTATTTTTGGCGGAGAATCGATTTGGACAGAAACTGGAATCAGATTTTAATAAAAAGGTGATAGACCATTTCGCTACAGAAAAATGTCGTCGCATTGATTTAATGTACAAAAAATAAACATATTTTATGTCAATTGTTGTTTTTGTCAATATTTTAGTAAAGTGAACCACCAGTTCGATAACCCACCAGCCGCCACTGTAAATATCTATGAATAAAATGACTAAAATTATAAACAAAGGCATTACTGATAAGCATAAATAATACTTTCAATTGTTCAAATGATTAAATATTTGATCACTAATCTTTTTTATCATCTTTCATTTAATTTCAAATTTCGTTGTCCAAGATATTTATACTCGTAAGTATACATTTAAATTAAACTATAACTTTGTTCAGAAGCCAAACCGTTACATTAGGTTTTCAAAACCATAGATAGTCCCTCCCTCAAGATATAGTTAGCTCATTTTGAGGTCCTCCACAACATTAGACAAATAAATTTAATAAAGACAAAGCCTATCCGTGATTACGGTTGCTCTAAAGTAACTGAAATATTGGGTAAAATGTTAAATGTTAATAGGGTAAACAATATGATATAAATTTTCAATTTCTTCACTTATCTTCGAAGACACTCAATTATGGTTGGAAGCAAACACAGAAGTAAAGTAGTGGTTCCAAACTTTTGCTATTTGAATGTGAAAGGAGAAAGCGATATGCAATATTGAAAAAGGAAAGAGATTAAATTTCTTTAATCCTACGCACACTTTTCAAAGTGAAGAGTACTGAGAGATTTGCCACCTTATTTTATTGTGTTAGTTTTTACCAAGTCATGGTTAAAAATAAGTTTTTATACGTCTAGCTACGAAGAGCGTAGCGGTGAAGTGGTTTTTGACAGCGCCTGCCAAAATGTAACAACGGTATTTTACAAGCGTATGGACTTGTGCTTTGTGTAAGAAAAGATTCTGTCCTGACGCGAAATAATTATTACTTTTGCAGGTTCACCGAGTTTTTTTGCAACTGCCCTAGCATTGGACTAAATGAATCGCCTGAAATTAAAGTTCAACAATACCTCAATACCTAATAAGTAATAACTAAAGAAAATCATTGTATTACATGGAAGCATTCTGAAAGTTGTCGGTGAAAAATCTTTATGTTTGTAGAGAAATTTAATAATGAAACCTACAATTTATTTGTAAATAAATATTTGTATGTAATCCAATAGTAATATCTTATTACAGGTGTCTTTAGAGAAATTAGATTGTGATAATACTTTATTACGACTGCAAGTGATATGGGAAAGTGGCGAAAAACAGTAAGTGTTCTATGAACTAATGCTGTATATTAAAACTGTATAAAAAAAATCCTTCACTTCTTTAGGCAACTCTTACTAAATATTAAGAAATATAACTTTATATATTTATTAGTCTAATGGTTTAGGAATTAAGAATGTAGTGTAGAAAACTCATTCCAAAATCAGGGATGACGTCACCAAAAATATATTATCATATAACAATTCAGTAATATAAAACTGTAATATCTAATTACTCTATCTTTAGGAACTGTGAAAACAAAATATATTGAAATAAAAACGATTTCTGCTTTTAAAGTATTATTTGATGATTTTATGATTTCAATTTTAAGATACTCCAGTTTCGGTTTTATGTTTCCAGAAAAGTATTAATTTATCTTTTCATTAACTACCGCTTCTAAAACATAAGATAAAAAATATATTCTTAAACATTAATATTATCTTACAAAATTACGAATTACCAAAAACGAGAAAAAATACGCCACTATTTTCTCGAAAATGTTTAAAATCTCAAGATGACGTCACACATTAAAAGTTGCGTGAGCGGACTTAATCACACAGCGCTTCTTGCACAGGCAATAATATGTTTTCTTATCACGTGTTATTTCTAAATAACCTTTTCATAATGTTATTTTTGTGCATCATTATAACTAATTTAAATATTAAAGCTGTCCTTTGCAAAGGCATGACCGCAACATTTGTGGAGTAATAGTAAGAAAGTTGTCATTATTTTATGATTCCACTGAAAGGTATATGCTTATATTGATAAAGATTTTACCAGCATATTTAACACTCTTTAGTTTTTCATCATAACCATTTTTCACAAGAATAAATATTCGAATCTCGATTCAACGTTTCCAGTATTTAACAGCAATTGTAACAGCAAATCTTAGCAGCAATTGCCTACAAAAACTGCAAGCAATTCTTCGTTCGTCTTATTTAAAAGGAGCATCTTATATGTAAAATACACAATAACTACAAAACAGTATGATTTTTAACGCGCACTCGAGATATCGAGATTTTCTTTGGCATCTGTTTTTTACAGGCAAAAGCGATGCCGTGGCTTTTCATTATACCAACGAGCAACACTGCTATGACTGTATTTCTGTAAATTTATTATTAATTAATATATTTTTAAGTATGTATAAATAGCACTTTAATAAAAATATCACAATTTTTGAGATATAAATGAACACGTGTTACTAAACAGAGGAGCAACAAAAAATGTTTATAATTTATACTTATCCGACCCCTTGCGGATAATCTTAACAGGAAATTTAAATATTATTTATCACACGTGAACATCTTGTTATTGCAGTACAATTATTCTGTTACATTGATTATATGAATAATGATATAAAATAATACAATTCTTTACGAATAATTACCTGTCAGCGAATAGTTGGTCATGCGACAGGTAAATACTTCATTCGTCTAAGCTGAGTTACTTTATTGTATTATTCATTTAAACGAGAGATTTCATTTGTTCTTTAGATTCATTTAATATTTGAGATAAAAATATGTGCTTCTAATTAAGTTTAAATTTTATTTAACGTTCAAAAAATTTATAAATAAAAGAAAGTTGTTTCGTTTATTTCCAATTAAGAATTCAATAACTGTATCAATACTTTTTCGAATTTTGTTACAAGTAATATTATATTGTCACAATTTTTATAACATTAATAATTGTATAGGTTCTCCTTCTAAAATCCTGAATAAGGTTTGAGTCTTATGAACTCACTTAAAGTGAGCACTCCCGTGTGCTCTTATTGGTAATGATAAAATTTGTAAGGATGTACATATGTAAGTATTTAAATGTGTTACTTTTTCAAACAACAACTTCTGTAATGGTGTTTAAACATTTTAAAAATAATACAGACATCAGAATTATAAAAAGTTTGTTTGGACATATCGTTTAGTTGCAAAAGATTCATGATATGAAACTCCAAACAAAATTACGTTATGGACTAGAGTAAATATGATTTTACGTGACGCCACATGACACCGTTTATGTTTAAGATAAATTTTCCTTGCAGAATCAGTTTTATTTTGAAACTGATTTGTCTATGAATAATTTTGTGTTAATTTCCATGAAAATTATGCATATTTATGTTATAAATTTGTGTAATTGACTTTCAAAAAATGCTTAAATGATTCGATACGAGTAATGTTTTTCGCTATTTGTTGTGTTTTAAATCATACTTAGGTGAATTTAAATATTTTTCTCTCTGGTTGTTTGTAAATTAAACCTTGACTTATAAATGGCGATTTTAATTAAGAATCCAGTACAAGAATAAAAAACTTTTCTTTATCTGTATCTAATATGATATGCCCTTTGGAATAAAAAGGCAAAAGCCAAGCATAATCTGTTATAGAATAAAGTTGTATTGCTGTTGACAAAAAAACCTCAGTTTAAAATTAAATGAAGATCGTTTGAACGTAATATAACAAGTTTAATACTAGATTTTTGTAAAATAATATGAACATTATTTAAAGAATTCGTCAATTTTTAAAGTTTAATGAAGATGTTTGTTTGAATTAATTCGGCATAACAGGTAGAAATTATGAAACAACTGTGGTAATTAAAGATCCTTATTGTCAATGTTACATTATTATATGGACCATAATTATTTATTTTTAATCAACTGCAAAAAGGATTAGGTTCCTCATTCGACTGTATTTGTTTTTATGTTTGGAACTTTCAGCTGATTTCTATATTTTTTATTTATTTAAAAGCTGATGCCTTACATGTTATTTTACTACAAAGAAACCACGTTCTGGTAATAGAATTTGGAAAAAGTCGAGGAAACTCCT